CATCCTGGAAGGTTTGTGTGGGTTTGGATTTAAGGACCCCTGTGTCTTGTGAAATTCTTGAGCACCTGGCATTAATGTCTGAAGAAATCACAAACTGATGGCTTTTTAAAGGACTTGAGTTTCAAATAACAACCAAATTGCTCTTAAAATGAAGGATGAACCTTATTTTCTGAATTTCCTATAAAGCCTAAATACAGCCCCATCTGTTGTGCTGTCCTGGATGTTACTCATCAACTCACAGATGGCAGCTCTGCTCCAAGAATTCCCAGGCTCTCCTATGCTCCCAGTTTTATTTTGATTTATTTTGGGTGCCTATATGAATAGTCAGGGCAGTTCCCTTGTCCCAGAGTCTGTCCTCTTCATCCTGCATGGAAAATGCCATTGATTAATTGATTAATAATTGATTAATATTGTAGTAGTGCAGGCTGCACTTGTATTTCATACTGAATATTTTTCTATTTCATGTTGAAATTCATATTGAAAGAATTGAAATATTCCATATTTCATTTCTTCACCCTATTGCAGGAGAAGTTTCTGATACAGAAACAAATGCAAATATCTGATCTAAAGATTGGCATTGAGATTCATTTTCCTTTTGCCTGGATCCTGCTGGGCTTGTGTCAGTACAGGGCTCTGACCAGCAAACGTGACTATTTAGGGATTTCTCTCCAGCTGTGTTGTTCCTTGACAGTCCTCTTGGATACCCATCCTGGAAGATGTCATGGAGAAATTATCAAGTGGTGTTTTCAGGTGAGAGATCTCGGGGTTTGTGGTTTTTTTTTTTTACTTCAGCATTAGAAGCAGAAAACTCTTGCCAGCACTAACACTCCAAGAAGAGCTTCAGGAGACAGGGACGCTGCTGGAATAAGGTGGGATCCCTTCCCTCAAAGCAGGATAACTGTTGCTGTTGAGCAAAACCCTCACCACCACCCCTTTTTTCCCCCCTCTAAGGATATACTTTCATTAAATTCTGTTTGCTTTTAGGGCTTTGCCCTCCTTCTGTGCACTTGGGCAAAGCTGTAGAACTTTTACTTTGTTTAAGGAGTGAGGTTTACACAGTGCAAGCAAAGGCTGTCCTGTGATATCCCCGTTGATCTGAGTGTGCTCAGCAGGCACTTGTCCTCTTCCACTTTAGGCCTCAGCTGGATGAACCGATCCCACTGTACGAGGCCAAGGTTTCCATGGAAATTGTTCAGAAGAATCAAGCCAGAAAAAGACAAGTCATCCAGTTCTGACAGGCAGTCTCCTGATTTCAGAGCCCAGGGGAGACAAAGAAACGTAATCTATTTGTGGAGTGAATCAGCGTACACTTTCAGACAGTTCTGTAACCAGAATTTAAACATCCTTTGTACCTCAGCACAAATGGTCTCGAAGCTCCTGCGACTTCAGGGGGTTTTAATCCACATGAGCAGAATGTTCCCATCAGCAGCTTCCACAGAAGCAGCCTTGACCTGCAGATCTTGTCTGCACAGATCTTGTCTGCCCTGCCCCAGTTACAAACGTCAGGCAAACCCAATTGCTGTTGGTTTTCAACTGTAAGAAATTAAAAGGAAAAAAAAAGTCATCTGGAACCACAATTAATCTGTCTTCTGTCACTCACTGGACTTGGAGCAGGTTCCTGATAAATGATGCACGGGAAGTGTATGAAAACAGGAGGAAGTCTGATTTCACTGCCTGTGTGATGTAATGCAGCCCCGAAAAGAAGTGATGCTTTTACACGTCTGAAGCGTGTGAAGCCTCCCTTAGTTCCACAGTTATTCTGAAACGTTGTACCCAACTCTTGATTTTTATCTGATGTTGCTCATTTGAGCCTAAATGTTTGCAAGATAAAGCAGACCACAGGAAACAAGAAATTTAAAAGTTTCAGAAGAGCAACCACTGACAAAATTAAAAGAAAGATTTTTTTTTTTATAGTATAGATTTTTTTTTATTAAATCTTAGCCAGTAGTTATGTTGATCCTAAGTACCTCTTTGTGCTTTTTGAACCACATGTATTTATAATTATTTATTTTTATTATTTATTATGCCTTTTGAACCCCAGGTACAGCAGACTAGTGCTATCAGAACTAGTTTCTATTCCAAACAGAGTGAAGAACTTGGGGTTTTATCCCAAAGAGACAGAACCCCGAGGGTTTATTGGCACCTCTCACCCAGCTGGTCCCGCTATCTCCACAGGTCATTTTTACCCTGAATTTCATCCACCCGACCAGCAACACTGCGGCACGTTTTGAAACGCATTCGGAACTCCATTTATATTATTCAGCAGTCATTTATTTATTATTTGCTTATTTATTTATTATTTATTACGCTATTTGAACCCCATGTACCACAGACTGCTGGGAGCAAAACTAGGTTTCTATCCCAGAGAGACCAAAAGCCTCGTTTATCTGGGATAAAATCCCCTAGGTTTTTAGTGCATTTGGGGTAAAAAGACTAAACCGTGTGTGTTGGGTGTCACACGGGGCACAGCTGGAACCAGGTGGCAGCGTCTCCACAGGTGCTTTTGGCGCTGGTGCAGCCGCGTGGTGACTTTGACAGAGCCGCCCCCCGCGCTCGGGGCTGGTTTGCGAAGGGCTTGGGAAGTCCCTTTGTGTCGCTGAGCAGCAGTTGTGGCCCCTTTCTCTGTGTGTGCCGGGACCGCAGCGGGGCTGGCGGGAGCCGCTGTCCCCTCAGGCCCTGAGGGCGCAGCAATGGCGGCGCCGCTCCCTCAGCACCGCCCAGGGGCGGAGCGGGCGGCCTTTGGAGCCGAGACGGGCCCGGGGCTGCTGCGGGGTCCGCTCGGCCACGGCCGAGCCCGGGGAACGTCCCTGTGTGTCCCCTCCTGCCAGCAATGAGCCCATGGAGTCGGGGCACACACGTGCTGCCTGTATTCCAATGTCCTGTGCGTGCAGGGTCACAGCCAGGGCACTGTCACCTCCATCCCCCTGGGAAATAAGGCGGCAGAGGAGCAGGGAGCAGCCCCGAGTGGGTGCAGAGAGCACAGGCTCTCCCGGAGCCCCTGGCAAACACCAGAGCTCCACAGTACACTTTGGACAATGTTCCAAGGCTCCCCCGAGTGCTGTGCGTGCCCCGTGCCCGGCCCAGCCAGGGCCCCTTGGCGGGTGCCCCGCAGGGATGGGGTGCTGGGCTGGCAGCACCGGCTGCGGGCAGTGCCTTTCCTGCCACTTGTTCAGCGACCGCTTTATTTGCTTGGAACACTCGAGAGAGAGAAGCAGTGCCGGGATGGAGAGACTGATTTGCCCTGTGCTCTCTGCCGGCACTTTACGCTGGAAGGACATTCCCCAGCGGAGCAGCCCCTGCCCGGGCTCCGGGCACAGCAGGGGCTGCAAGGCCACGAGTGCCGGGGCTGCCCCGGGCCGGGTCCGGGCGGTCCCGCTGTCCATGGGGGGCCGGGGGTGGCCCTTTGTGACACGGGCGCCTTCCAGGGCCCTTTGTGACGCGGCCATGGGGGTGCCCGGAGACCCTTGTGACATCCCAGCCCCTGCCCTGCCCAGGTGTTGGAGGGACAACAGAGCCCTGGGGTGCCCACAACCAGGAGAGCCCCTCTGCAAGGAGGCAGCAGCTGCCTGGGTCCCTCTGCTGCAGAGGAGAACGGAGATGGATGAGGACAAAGGGAACCCCAACTCCCAGCCCCCCAGCCCCTTGCCCAGCTGGCTGGAAGACGAGTCACTCGGTGAGCAGTGGCTGGGGGCAGTGGGCGAGTCAGGCCTCCCACTGTCAGAGATGGAGGAGGGGTCCTTTGGCCATGGCGATGCCGACTGGAATGACGACACCGATCGAGACCTTTCCCAATTCGGAGATGTTACCGAATGGGAAGAAGAGGAGACTGAAGATGAGACAGAAGATGAGACACTCTACGAAGAACTCTACCAACTGGGAAGAAGTGAGAGTTCAAGAATGCTCCCAACAGGGAGCCAGGAGACCCCAAGAAGACGACCCATTTGAAAAACATGTGAGAGTCCAAGAACTTTCCCAGCGGTGTGAGGGGAGACAGCCAGAGCTGTACCAATGGGAAGAAAGTGTGAGACGCCAGGAGCTGCACGAATGGGAAGAAGGTGGTGTGAGATACCACGAGCTGACCCAATGGGAAGAACATGTGACAATCCGAGAGCTGCCCCAAAGGGAACAAGAAGAGACATATCAAGACCTGTCCCAATGGGAAGATCTGGGAGTCCAAGAACTGTCCCAGCAGAAAGGTCAGAGATGCCATGACCTGCCTCAGCAGGAAGAAGATGTGGGAGTCCATGGACTGTACCAATGGGAAGACAAGAGAGATCCAGAGCTCTCCCAAGTGGGAGACGAGACAGACAAGGAGCAAGCACAGGAAGAAGAGTACAGTGCCCAAGAGCTGCCCCCAAGGGAAGACAGGAGTGACAAAAAGCTGTCTCAGGGGGCAGCTGATGTGGGTCCCAGCATTTGGGACAAACCCTTGAGCCCAGTGACTGCTGGGGACCCCCAGGCTGTTGCCCAGGAGGGGCCCAGCTCTCCCAGCAGCGTGGGCACACAGGTGGCAGCAGAGGCAGCCCGTGAGCTGCCCAGCCCAGCTCCTGCCTCGCTGAGTCCCACGGAGGCCGAGCCGGCAGCTGCTGCCCCGGCCAGAGCTGCTGAGGAGGAGAAGCCCCAGGGGCCTCTCGCTCCTGAGGAGCCAAAGGCAGAAGGTTCTGCAGCCTCTGGGGAGCTGGTGCCATCAGCAGGGACACAGAGCCCGGTCCCTGCCCCACAGAGCCCCTCAGAGGGCAGCCAGGCCCTGCTGGACACAGAGCAGGACATCACCGCTGACATCCTGAGCGAGGCTGAGCTTGAGATCCAGGAATCTGAGATGCAGCTGATGGAACAAGGAGACCTGGAACAAAGCAAGGATGCAGAAATTCAAGAAACAGCAGAGGGGACAGAGAGTCCAGTCCCTGCCCCACAGAGCCCCTCAGAGGGGAGCCAGGCTGTGCTGTTTATCACCACTGAGATCCTCAGTGAGACTGAGCCTGTGATCCAGGCACCTGAGCAGCAGCTGATGGAACAGGGAGACCAAGAAGAAAGCACAAATGCAGAAATGGAAGAAAGAGTAGGAGGGACAGAGAGCCCACTCCCTGCTCCACAGAGCCCCTCAGAGAGCAGCCAGGCCCTGCTGGACATGGCCGAGCTCATCACAAATGAGATCCTGAGGAAGGCTGAGCTTGATATCCAGGGATCTGAGCAGCAGATGATGGAACAGGGAAACCAAGAAGAAAGCCCAGATGCAGAAATGCAAGAAACAGAAGGAGGGACAGAGAGCCCGGTCCCTGCCCCACAGAGCCCCTCAGAGGGCAGCCAGGCCCTGCTGGACACTGAGACATCACCACTGAGATCCTCAGTGAGACTGAGCCTGTGATCCAGGCACCTGAGCAGCAGCTGATGGAACAGGGAGACCAGGAACAAACCAGGGCTTCAGAAATGCAAGAAACAGCAGGAGGGACAGAGAGCCCAGTCCCTGCCCCACAGAGCCCCTCAGAGGGCAGCCAGGCCGTGGTGGACATGGCCGAGCTCATCACTACTGAGATCTTGAGAAAGGCTGAGCTTGAGATCCAGAGATCCAGCCAGGAGCTGGAGGAACAGGGAAACCTGGAACAAAGCACAGCTGCAGATTTGGGAACAGTTCCAGCAGAAGAAAGCAGAGAGAGCCTGGTGTCTGCCCCACACAGCCCCTGCTCCACTGCCAGCCCCTTGGCTTCCAGCCTGGAAGTCCTGGTGGCCAGTGAGCAGCAGGAGGACACAGAGGGGAGGTCAGTGCTGTCACTGCTGTCACTGCAAGAGACTGAGGAGGGGACCTTGGCTGGGGAGGAAAAAGAGTGGAAACCATTCCCTAAACAAGGGGAAGAGGTCAAAGAGCCAGAGCTGTCCCAGTGGGAAGAGGACATCCCCTCCAATCTCTCTGACGAGGCCCTGGGCCCAGGAGAGCAGGAGGACCCCCAGGCTGTTGCCCAGGAGGGGCCCAGCTCTCCCAGCAGCGTGGGCACACAGGTGGCAGCAGAGGCAGCCCGTGAGCTGCCCAGCCCAGCTCCTGCCCCGCTGAGTCCCACGGAGGCCGAGCCGGCAGCTGCTGCCCCGGCCGGAGCTGCTGAGGAGGAGGAGCCCCAGGGGCCTCTCGCTCCTGAGGAGCCCAAGGCAGAAGGTTCTGCAGCCCCAGGGGAGCTGGTGCCATCAGCAGGGACACAGAGCCCGGTCCCTGCCCCACAGAGCCCCTCAGAGGGCAGCCAGGCCCTGCTGGACACAGAGCAGCAAATCCCCACTGAGATCCTGAGCGAGGCTGAGCTTGAGATCCAGGGATCTGAGCAGCAGCTGGAGGAACAGGGAGACCTGGAACAAAGCACAGATGCAGAAATGCAAGGCACAGCAGGAGGGACAGAGAGCCCGGTCCCTGCCCCACAGAGCCCCGCAAAGGGAAGCCAGGCCCTGCTGGACATGGCCGAGCTCATCACTAATGAGATCCTGAGGAAGGCTGAGCTTGATATCCAGGCACCTGAGCAGCAGGTGATGGAACAGGGAAACCAAGAAGAAAGCCCAGATGCAGAAACACAAGAAACAGCAAGATGGAGAGAGAGCCCGGTCCCTGCCCCACAGAGCCCCTCAGAGGGCAGCCAGGTCATGCTGGACACAGAGCTCATCACCACTGAGATCCTGAGTGAGACTGAGCCTGTGATCCAGGGATCTGAGCAGCAGCTGGATGGAACAGGGAGACGAGGAGCAAAGCACAGCCACAGAAACAGGAACAGCATTTACAGCAGATGGGGAAGGGAGCCCGGTCCCTGCCCCACAGAGCCCCTGCAGCCCCCCAGCTCCTCAGCTCCCAGCCTGGAAGGCCAGGCTCTCAGGGAGCAGCAGGAGGAGGCAGAGAGGGGGTCATTCCTGTCAGGGCAAGACACCGAGGAGGGGGCCATGGAGGGCCAAGACTGGAAATACCACATTGACCAAGAGATTTCCCAGTGGGAGGATGAGGGAGACCAAGAGCTGTCCCCAGAAGAAACGAAAACCTCCCAAGAAGTGTCCCAAGGGGAAGAGCGCAGGGAGCAGGAGCTGTCCCCTGGAGCAGGCAAGAGCTACCAGGAACTGTCCGACTGGGACGAATACAGCGAGGAAGAGGAGCCCCAAGGAGAAGGGAAGAGCTACCAGGAAGTGTCAGACTGGGAAGAAAACATCAAGCAAGCGCAGTCCCAGGAAGAATCCAAGAGATGCCAAGAAGTGTCCGACTGGGAAGAACACAGCGAGGAGAAACTGCCCCACGAAGGAGTGAAGAGCTACCAAGAGGTGTCCGACTGGGAAGAAAACCTGGAACAAGAGCAGTCCCAGGGAGAATCCAAGAGATGCCAAGATGTATCCGACTGGGAAGACTCCAGTGAGGAAGAGCTGTCCCACGGAGGAGCCAAGAGCTACCAGGAAGTGTCGGACTGGGAAGAAAACCTGGAGCAAGAGCAGCGCCAAGGACAGGTGAGAAGCTTCCAAGAAGTGTCCGACTGGGAAGACTACACGGAGGAAGAGCAGTCCCCAGCAGAAGTGAAGAGCTACCAGGAAGTGTCGGACTGGGAAGAAAACCTGGAGCAGGAGCAGTCCCAAGAAGTGAAGAAGTGTGAAGAACTGGCTGACTGGGAAGAGCTGTCTGACAGCACAGAAGAGCTGTCCCACGGAGAAGAGAAGATCTCCCAAGGACCATCCAAGCGGGAAGAATCCAGCGAGGAAGAGCAGTCCCCAGGGAGTAGCAGTGGCTACCCAGAACTGACCGAGTCAGAAGAATCCAGCATGGAAGGGCAGTTCCAAAGGAAATTCAGTGCCTACCAAGAACTCCTGTCCGACTGGGAAGACTCCATTGCCCAAGAGCTGTCTGAAGACGAAGACTCCCTCGGCCAAGAGTTTTCTGACTGGGGAGACTACATCCCCTCCATGGTGTCCCGCTGGGAAGACGACAGCGACAGGGAGCTGGCACTGCTGGACTGGGAACACACGACCGTCCACAGCTTGGAGGTCAAGCCCTTGCGGCCAGAGGAGGACGAGTGGGAAGAACTGAGCGTCCTGGAGCTGTCGCAGGGAGAAGGCACGGAACACAGGCTGGCAATCCTTGCGGCAGAGGGGCTCCCAGTGCCCGTCCCTCGCGAGGCGTGGGCTGAGCGCCGGGCGCCTGCCCCGTGCCCAGCGGGGCCGGTCTGTGCCTGCCCTGCCCAGCTGGAGGCCCAGGCCCCCCGAGGGGCTGCAGCTCCTCCTGCCTTGGACAAGCAGGTGGCACAGGCAGGGACACGGAGCCAGGGCCCTGCCCCAGAGAGCCCCTGCTGCCCCCCCAGCCCCTCCCCTGCCCAGCTGGAGGCCCAGGCCCCCCGAGGGGCTGCAGCTCCTCCTGCCTCGCACAAGCAGGTGGCAGAGGCGGGGGCACAGACCCAGGGCCCCAGGAAACGTCCCTGTCGTTTAAGGAGGGCGCTCGGGGCTCTGCACCGGCTCTTCCGCTCCTGCACACGGGGACAGCCTGAGGATTAGGCCCCGCTCCAGCGCCGGGCCGGGCCCACACACCTCTGCAATCCTTCCACAGACAGTGACTCCACCACCGACCTGCGACATTTACTGCCAATCTTGACGAGTCCTGCAGGGAACGAGCAAAGACAGGATCTGCTGCTCCCACAACCTCCCTGCAGGACTGCCACAACCACGACTATTCCAGAACCAAACCAAACACGGCTTTAGGACATTCACTTGATTAATTCATTTAGCTCTTTAAGTAGGGAATTCAGTTAATAATTATTACAATAAGTTTTTATAGTATTTAGGAAGACTGTTTTCAATAGACTATGAAGATAGACTTGGCTAAGGTAGAGAAGACTATATTTACATGTTAGCATAAGTATCACATTTATAGGATAGATAGATAGGTATCCTGCAGTTGCACTAGGAGAATTAGAAAAGACAAGATAGAAGATTAGGAAGATTCCTATAGATCCCCTTCAGTTTCCAGGATCCCTATCTAGCTCTTTAGTTCTCATTTCTAGTTCAATAAAGTTTGCATTCAATAAAATCCAAGTGTTGTCAGCAAATGGTCTCATTTACACCTTAAGTTGGGCAGAGGCATCTCTCCCTAATGGGGTCGGAACACACGGGCAGGGACACCTTCCACCAGCCCAGGTTCTCCAAGCCCCGTCCAACCCGGCCTTGGACACTTCCAGGGCAGCCACAGCTTCTCTGGGCAACCTGTGCCAGGGCCTGCCCACCCTCCCAGGAAAGAATTTCTTCCCAATATCCCATCTAACCCTGCTTTTCATCACTTTGAAGCCATTTCCCCTTGTCCTGTCACTCCAGGCGCTTGTGAAAAGTCTCTCCCCATGGATGGCTCAAACAGCAGACACTGGCACTTCCAGTGTAAGAAGCTGGAAAGAAGTGCAAAGAAATCATCTGGAACCACAATTAATCTGTCTTCTGTCACTCACGGGACTTGGAGCAGATTCCTGATAAAGGATGCACAGGGAGTGCATGAAAACAGGAGGAAATCTGATTTCACTGCCTGTGTGATGTAATGCAGCCCGAAAAAGAAGAGATGCTTTTACACACGTGTGTACACACATCTGAAGCGTGTGAACCCTCAGTACCACACTGATTCTTTGGACACAACTGTTGCTTTTCTCCTGCTGTTGCTCATTTGAGCAAAATAACCAAAGGAAACAAGAAAACAATTTTAAAACATGAAAAACCACTGGCAAAACAGCAAAAAAAAGTGTTTTTTTCTTACAATATAGTTTTTCATTTATTAAATCTTTTGCCAGTAGATATGTCGATCAAGCAGCCCCCGGAGGAGCCCCCTGGAGCAGGGGGATGTCCAAAGGAGGCCGTGAGCCTGGGGAAGCCCAGCCTGCAGCAGGGGCCTGGCAGGACCTGTGGGTCCGTGCAGAGAGGAGCCCACGCTGGAGCAGGTTTGGTGGCAGGACTGGTGACCCCACGGGGGATACACAGGGGAGCAGTTCCTGAAGGACTGACCCCATGGAAGGGACCCACGCTGGATGGATGCCTTAAGGACTGATCCTGTGGAAGGACTCGAGCAGGAGAAGTTCATGGAGAGCTGTGTCCCGTGAGAGGAACCCCACGCTGGAGCAGGGAAAGGACTCTTCGCTCTGAACATCGGATGTCTCATGAAGTGACCATGAAACCCATTCCCCTTTCCCAATTTAGCCCTGGTTTATTTATTATTTCTTTATTGTGCATTTTGAACCCCATGTACAACCGGCCAGTGCGATAATAAAAATTAGTCTTCTCTCCCAAATCGACTAAAAACCTAGGGATAAAACACGGAGGCTTTTGGTCCGTTTGGGATAGAGGACTAAACCGTGTGTGTTGGGTGTCACACGGGGCACAGCTGGAACCAGGTGGCAGCGTCTCCACAGGTGCTTTTGGCGCTGGTGCAGCCGCGTGGTGACTTTGACAGAGCCGCCCCCCGCGCTCGGGGCTGGTTTGCGAAGGGCTTGGGAAGTCCCTTTGTGTCGCTGAGCAGCAGTTGTGGCCCCTTTCTCTGTGTGTGCCGGGACCGCAGCGGGGCTGGCGGGAGCCGCTGTCCCCTCAGGCCCTGAGGGCGCAGCAATGGCGGCGCCGCTCCCTCAGCACCGCCCAGGGGCGGAGCGGGCGGCCTTTGGCGCCGAGACGGGCCCGGGGCTGCTGCGGGGTCCGCTCGGCCATGGCTGCCCCTGCCGAGCCCGCCGACCCGCCCGGCTTCCAGAGGCCGCCGGCGATGCTGCGGCTGAAGCGCAAACGCCCGCGGAGGAGCGAACCCTCCACCCCCGCCGCCTCTGCCGCCCCGGCCCCGCTGGGCCGCTCCGCGCCCGCCCGCCGCAACCCCTCCTCCACCCCGAACAACCCCTTCTGCAGCCCGAACAACCCCTTCTGCAGCCCGAACAACCCCTCCTCCAGCCCGAACAACCCCTTCTCCAGCCCGAACAACCCCTTCTCCAGCCCGAACAACCCCTCCTCCAGCCCGAACAACCCCTTCTCCAGCCCGAACCACGCGGCTCAGCGGGCGGCGACGCCTCAGCCCCCGGCCCCGGCGGGCGGGGATCCATCGGCAGCGCCCTTCTGGCAGGTGGGACCGAGCCCCGGCACAGGAGAGGGGAGGGGAGAGGCGGGGAGGGGACTCGGCGCCCTCGCCACCAGCCCTGGCCCTCGGTGCCATCACCCTCAGGCAGGGCGGTTTTCAATGCCCGGTGCTTCCTGCGCTCCTTTGGGCCTCACGCTGCTCTTTCGTTCAGTTTTTAGAGCCTGCCTGTGAAGAGAAGCCCCCCGGGAGAGCAGAGCCCGCTGCAGGAGCCGACATCCTCGCCCTAACCAAGGTATGAAACAGCACACAGTGCTGGGAAGATTTTAGCTGTTTTCTCTCTTTTTTTTTTTTTTGGAATAATTTATCTTTTGATCTGTTCCTGTTTATCATTGCTAGACAGACTCCTGTGAATGAAAACCCTCTTGTGTGGTTCTATAAGCAATAGAATGGATTATTTCTATTAGAGTCTGGTACTGACTGAAATAAACAGCTGAGTCTAAAGTGTGCCTTTGTTTCCACCTGTGAACAGGTTTAATTTTCTGCGAGTGGACTGATGCTGTTTCTTTTTGGACAGGATCTTCATTTACCTACTGCTGTACCCAAGGTTCCCTCCTCACCAAGGCAGGACTTCCCTGCAGACTGGAGTATTAAAACACGGATTCTATTCATGTCTTCCCAACCTTTCACCTGGACGGAACATCTAAAAGCACAAGAGGAAGCTCAGGGACTTGCTCAGCACTGCAGAGCTACAGAAACCACCTTGCCCCCGAGTGTGCAGGTGAGAGCTGGGAGTGTGGCTGGAGCTCCAGCTTTGTGTCTGGCAGCTTTCCTGTCCTCCTCAAACCCTCTTGGATCTCCAGGATCCCCAGCTGTCCACGGAGCTGCGTTGTGCCTTTCAGCAGAGCCTCGTGTACTGGCTCCACCCATCCCTGCCGTGGCTGCCGCTGTTCCCTCGGATTGGGGCAGACAGGAAAATAGCTGGAAAGGCTTGTCCTTGGGCACAGGATGAGGCCTTGCAGCAAGTGCTCAGGAGCGACTGGTGAGTGGAACCCAATTAGGGATGTATTTGGTAAGATTAAGACAATGGGATTTTAATTAATCACAGAATCACGGGATGGTTTGGGATGGGAGGGATTTTAAGGATCTTCTTGTTCCACCCCCTGCCATGGGCAGGGATACCTTCCACCAGCCCAGGCTGCTCCAAGCCCCGTCCAGCCTGGCCTGGGACACTTCCAGGGATCCAGGGGCAGCCACAGCTTCTCTGGGATTCAACCTGTGCCAGGGCCTGCCCACCCTCCCAGCCAGCAATTCCTTCCCAGTATCCCATCTGTCCCTGCCCTCTGGCAGTGGGAAGCCATTCCCCGTGTCCTGTCCCTCCATGCCTTGTCCCAGGTCCCTGGGCAGTGTCAGCAGCCCAGAGGTGCGTGCTGTGACAGCTGCTGCCGCTCGTTCCAGGTGTGTGAGCTTCTCCTCGCTGTACCGGCTGCTCAAGGCGGGGCTCTGTCCCTATTTCTACGTGTGCTGCCCGCAGTTCTCGGTGCTGTTCCGCGCCGCGGGGCTGGGGGGCAGCGCCGTCCCCACCGCCGCCATCGCCCCCACCACCCGCGGCTTCAGGGAGGCCCTGAGGAGCGAAGGCAAGTGCAGCCCCTCCTGCCGGGCCGGGCGGGGCTCACACGGGGCGCGGGCTGTGCCTCAGAACCGCTCACTGCTCTCCTCTGCTCCAGGCATAGAGTTCTCCTTGCCTTTCCTGGAAGAAAGAGCCAGGAGACAGAAAGGCTCTGAGGGCAGTCTGGGAACAGACGGGCCTGGCGGCCTCCGAGGGGGCAGCAGTGCGGAGGATGAAGGGTAGGTAACAACCCCGTGCAGTGCCGCAGTTCAGGGGCATCTCCAGGCTCCTGCACAGCCCGTTTGGAAAACCCTCCTCGGAGGTGCTGCCCTGCTGACAGTGATCCTGTGCCTTCCAGGGAACCGGCTCTGAGCGATGATGATGATGATGAGGAAAGCTTCTCTTGGCTTGAGGAGATGGGAGTCCAAGACGAGGTGAAGAAACCAGATGCTATTTCCATCCAACTGTATCCTTCCTTTGCACCTCCAGCGGTGCAACACTGGGAAACCCTGCAGCTGTTACAGTGCTGTGCTCCAGATTTAAGTTCTCTGAGGGCTTTTGAGAGCTGTTTCCCAAATAGGAATCCTCACATTCGTGCACGTTAGGAGACAGTGCATGTCTTCTTGAGCGTATTCACAATTCTGGGAATCTGAAGCCAGGGTTAAGATGCTGCTTAACATTCAGAGAGCAAATCAGTGGTGGGCTCTGGCTCTTGGGGTTTGCTGTTTGCTGGGTCCGAGGGGTGGGGGGTTCTGCTGCGGCTCCCTCCCGCCTGGCCGAGCTTTTCCCGTGACTCCCGCTGGCAGCCGCAAGGAGAAGCAGGAGGTGCGGGTGGATCACCGGCCCGAGTCGCTGGCGCTGGTGAGAGGCTGCGACACGCTGACCCTGCTCAACCTGCTCATCAACTGCCGCAGCCTGGTGGCCGTGGCGGGGCCGCAGGCGGGGCTGCCCCCCACCCTGCTGTCCCCCGTGGCCTTCCGGGGGGGCACCCTGCACACGCTCAAGGTGAGGGCCCTGGCCCTGCCACAGGGCTGTGTCTCCTCACTCCTGACATGGGGGCCTCTCCTCAGACACCTCACAGCAGGTGTTGGGGCTCGAGCCCGAGGCAGCCTCCTGTGTGCAGTCCAGCCTGTTCCTGAAGCCCCCCCACCCCCACACGTCCCTGTGCTGCACTGACACCCCCGTGTTCCCTTCCTGCCCCTCCCCACAGGCTGACAGAACCGCCCTGGGGGAAAAGGGTGGCTCAGAGGTTCCTCCTGAGCTCTTGTGGGGTCTGAGACTGCCCCGGCCCTTTGCACAGGAGCAGCCTCTGAGCCACCACTCACCAGCTGTTCCTGTAAGGGGACACTGGGGCTGGCAAGGACCTTAAGGCCCATGCAGTGCCACCCCTGCCATGGGCAGGGACACCTTCCACCAGCCCAGGCTGCTCCAAGCCCCGTCCAGCCTGGCCTTGGACACTTCCATGGATCCAGGGGCAGCCACAGCTTCTCTGGGCACCCTGTGACAGGGCCTGCCCACCCTCCCAGCCAGGAATTTCTGCCCAGTTAGCACAGGAGGAGCTGCTTGTTCCACCAGAGAAGTTCATCCTGTCCTTTGCACTTCACCTCCTACACTCCCTACAGCATTTCTGCACTCCAGGCGCTGCATTTTAGGAGTGAAACCATCCCAGTCCCGGTGCACTGAGCGGGGATTGGCACTGTGGGGAGGTGTTTTGGTTTCCCGCGGTGTCGGTGGGTGGGGGTGGGTGGGGTTGGCCGTGCCGTGTGAGGGCAGGGCTGATCCCTGCTGTGCCCGCAGGCTCGCAGCGGCCGTGCCCGGGTGCCGGGGGGCTCGGAGGACGCGTTCAGCCTGGAGGTGCTGGGGCCCGTCCTGCCCCACGCCCTGCGGGCGCTCACACGGCTGCTGGGCCCAGCCCAGCGCGGGGCCTTCCGCGCCCTGCTCAGCACGCACCAGCCCAGCGCAGCCTTCAACGCCTGCCCCGGCCCGCTGCAGGTGAGCAGGGGCTGCCCTGGGAGCGGGGCTGGGGCACCAACACCTGCCCTGGGGCACCAACACCTGCCCTGGGAGTGGGGCTGGGACACAAACCTGGGGCACCAACACCTGCCCTGGGAGTGGGGCTGGGACACCAACACCTGCCCTGGGAGCGGGGCTGGGACACCAACACCTGCCCTGGGAGCGGGGCTGGGACACCAACACCTGCCCTGGGAGCGGGGCTGGGACACCAACACCTGCCCTGGGAGCGGGGCTGGGACACAAAACTGGGACACCAACACCTGCCCTGGGAGCGGGGCTGGGACACAAAACTGGGACACCAACACCTGCCCTGGGAACGAACAGGGAACTGGGACACCAACACCTGTCCTGGGAACGGGCAGGGAACCGGGACACCAACACCTGTCCTGGGAGCGGGGCTGGGACACAATCCTTAGCCTGTGATCACCACTGGCAGCCCCTGTGGCTTGTCACTCCCTCAGAAATGGGATAATCAGAAGAGGGAGCTCCCCAGGGGTGTCCAAGGGCACGTTTGGAAGTACAGAAACGCCTGTCCCATGTGTGTGTCCTTGCTGTGCGTTCCCACAGGAGGATGAGGGATCACACCAGGACCTCCCTGCATGTGGACTGCCTCCCAAGACTCTGGATCAGCTGAGGCAGTGTCCAACCCTGGGAAAATCTGCCATCCGCTTCCTGGAGATGAAGGACTATGCGTATACCTGGAAGGCCTAGGAATGCAGGCTCCATTCCCTGGAGCAGGATGTTCCAGGTGTGCCGTGCTCAGGGCTGTGTGGGCAGGAAGGGAGGGACATCCCAGGCACCGCCTGTTGCACAGAATCTTCCAAGGACTTTTAACGGAGAGAGGCTTTGGGCTTCTCCTTTTGTATTTTAGAAAGTCTTTTTAAAATAAAACTCTTCATTTTATGGGTGTGGTTTGCAGGCAGGTCTGGGCTCCCCCAGCACAGGCACCGTCTGTTCCAAGTATGGAATTCCTGCTCCAGGTGGGAACTCGTAACCAGTTTGGAACTGGAACCCCCCTTGGCAGGGGCTTGGAACAAGATGAGCTTTACAGTGCCTTCCAACCCAGGCCTTCTGGGATCCTATGGATGGGTGGAATTCTTGGCAACACCTGTTCCCAGGCTGCTCCCAGCACCCAGCCAGGAGTGCAGTACCTTGGCTTGGAGTGGGCCCTGAGCTCCACAGGGATGGATGGGGGTCAGGAACCTGGAGTTGTGGCTGCAGCTGGATCCAGTTAAGGTGGATACTCCCCAGAGCTGCTCAGCAGAACTCCCAGTCCCACCCCCAGCCCGGGGTTAAAGGGAGTCCTTTGTGCAAACTACACCTGGATCACAACAAGGGAGAGGGATTAAATGGCTGCAGCACCTGCTCAGGGGGAATTGCTCCCTGGCAAGGGTGGTCAGGCCTTGGCAGGGGCTGCCCAGGGAGGTTTGGAGTGCCCAGCCCTGGAGGTGTCCAAGGCAGGCCTGGCCGTGGCACTCAGTGCTCTGGGCTGGGGGACAAGGTGGGGATGGGGCACAGGGGGATCCATGGGCTGGGAGGGCTTTTCCAATGGCAGAGGAAAAGCTTCCTCTGCCTCCAGCTGCTGTTTATCCCCAGCACAGGAAGTGTCCTGGCCCAGGAACACGCAGGGATGCAGTTAGGCTGGGGCTCTACAGGGACTGCTGGGACCTGTCATCCTCGGGGGTCACTGACTCCAACCCCGCTCCAGAGGCCCTTGGAGCATTAAACAGGGACTGTCCCTCTTTCTGGGGAGGGCAGGGCAGCACAGTCCCATTTCATTATTTCCTGCACTTATCCATAACAAATCCAGCAGCAATTGATGAACGCTGGACAACGCCCTCAGGGACGGGGGGGACTCTTGGGGTGTCCTGGGCAGGGCCAGGGCTTGGACTGGATGGTCCTTCCAGCTCAGGATTTTCCATGGTTCCATGACTATTGTCACCCCTTTCACCTATCTTTTAAATGGAGCCTCCAGTGGGACTGGATTTCTCTGCTGCTGGGAGAGAACTCAGGTCTTTACCTTAACCCAGGGAGCAGGGACACCAAAGAAGGAACAGAACAAGTCCAGGAGACTGTACATTCCCAAACTGGATGGTGTCCTGCTGTGAACCTGGAGCTGCCACAGGAACAGGATCCTCAGCAGCTCCGAGGCCTCAGCTCTGTCAAAGCCCCAGGTCTGGTCAGGAGCTGCTCCCAGCCCCGGGATGGATCCTGCACACAAGGGCTGAGGCAGACTCCCAGCTTTCCTTCCAGGAACCTTCCCAGCAGTTCAGCCACGGCCTGGAGGAGCTCCAAACACTCAGGGAGAGACCGAAGGCGAGAAGCCAAAGGGAAAAAAGTTTAATTCAAGACAACAACGTCCATGAAAATGAAGATCAACTGAAGCATTTCCAGAGCGCTTGGACAGACTCAGAGGGGCTCTTTAGTCTGCAAACCAACCCCATTTCTGCTGCACAAGAGACACCAACCCCTGTCCCCTCAGGGAAGGACAGACCTTGTTCTGTGACACTGATGGGATACACACGACTCCAGGCACCAGCAATTCCTGCCCCAGACCCAGCTCGGATACAACAGCTCAAAAAAACTTCTCTGAATGAGCACCTGAACTATCCCAGTCCAGCAGTCCTGGCACTCTGCTCCCAGCTCAGAGCTGGCAGGAAGGGTGCAGGGCCCTGCCCACTTCCAAGGGCACGCAGGCAAAGGACTGATCCTTCTTAAATAAAAGATAAATGAGGAGGAAAAGCTTTCTACATCCTCTGCCGTCCAACTGCGCAGGGCTCTCCTTGGGGGCACAGGATCCTCATGGAAATGTTAAGTTCAAGGAGTTATTTTGTAACAGGTCAAAGCAACAAAAATAACCGGACCTGCTCCTGCCGCCCCATGGCTGTCGAGAATCCTCCCAAAGCCACTTCTGCACCGTGTGCGTTTCTTCCAGGAGGCATTTTGGCATATTTCAATTCCCGATTCCTGGCTTGGCATCCGCTGGAATTACCGTCTGCTGACCAGGGGTGCAGATTATGAACTTGTGCTGCTTTATTGACCAAGTCGGGTACAACAATTGAAGCGTCATCCTACCCCTCCCCCCCAGTCCAGTTGTAAATCTGGTAAAGTTTAAAATTCACATGAACCACAAATCCGTACAATCAGCATCAGACAGTGAGTTCACTGGTTGGGGACAGCCCCTCTGTCCCGGGACACGCCGGAGTCCCCTCCGTGTCCCCCTGGCAGCCTCTCGTGGCTCGTGCGGCTGTCCCGGAGCGCAGGTGGCCACTGAGGGCCCCCCGGGGCAGGGCCAGGGGGTCAATCCTGTTGTGCTCTCCAGGGACCTCCAAGCATCAGCATTCCAAAGAGAGAGGAGCTGCGGGAGCTTTAGCCAAGAGTTCGGTCACCGATGCCTCCAGAGCCTGTCCTCCGATTTAGTCGTTTAAGAAATAATTACATCACTAATGTAAACAATATAAACATACCAAAAACTAAGTATGATTTAAATACATTTGGATGGTACAAAAGAAAAAAAACCTGTGGGCGTCTGTACAGTTTTTACAAGGTGGGAACTGCCGACGTATTTACAACCCGAGGGGCGGACGCGGAGAGCGGAGCAGCGCGGGCCGGGCCGGGCTCAGCGGTGGGAGGCACTCCTGAACATGGTGGTGTTGACCATGCTCTCCTTTGGTACGAGCCCCATCGCCTGCAGCGCCGCCGTGGCCGCCGTGGCCTTCGCGTGCTTCTTGTTAAGGCTGGCAAAGGTGGGCCGGTACTCGTTGCCGTTCACTCTCACCTGGGGACAGCGACACGGGCGTTGGGAGGGCTCGCAGGGCTGGGGGAACCCCTCACAGGGGGCACAGCCACCCACGGCTGCCCCCACAGCCCCTCCAGGCACCCACAGCCACCTCCACAGCCCCTCCAGGCACCCACAGCCACCCACAGCTGCCCCCACAGCCCCTCCAGGCACCCACAGCCACCCCCACAGCCCCTCCAGGCACCCACAGCCACCCACAGCCACCCCCAGACAGCCCCTCCAGGCACCCACAGCCACCCACACGGCCCCTCCAGGCACCCACAGCCACCCACGGCTGCCCCCACAGCCCCTTCAGGCACCCACAGCCACCCACAGCTGCCCCCACAGCCCCTCCAGGCACCCACAGCGGAGCTGCCTTGGAGGGACCCCAAAGCCCACCCCTGCCATGGGCAGCGACACCTTCCACCAGCACAGGCTGCTCCAAGCCCCAGCCTGGACACATCCAGGGATCCAGGGGCAGCCACAGCTTCTCTGGGAATTCTATCCCAGCCCCTCCCAGCCAGCAATTCCTTCCCAGTATCCCATCTAGTCCCTGCCCTCTGGCACTGGGAAGCCATTCCTGTCCCTCCCTCCATGTCCTGTCCCTCCATCCCTTGTCCCCAGTCCCTCTCCAGCTCTCCTGGAGCCCCTTTAGGCCCTGCAAGGGGCTCTCAGGTCTCCCTGGATCCTTCCCTTCTCCAGGTGAGCCCCCCCAGCTCTCCCAGCCTGGCTCCAGAGCAGGGGGCTCCAGCCCTGGGACCAACTCACCATCCTCGGCCACCCTGAGGTGGCTGAGATGTTTCCATCCCAACAGGAACAGGAATTCCCTGCCCTGGGACAGCGGAATCAGCAGCAGCTGAGGCAGCCCAGACCCACCTTGAAGATGAAATGCTTGCGGTGATCAGGCCCGCTGTCGTCCACCAACACGAACTCGGGCGGTGTCCACCTCCTCTTGTTGCAGATCTCCATCAGCGCAGACACCGGGTGCTTCCCTGCACACACAGCACGGCCGTCAGAATCGGAGCGGCCTTTGGCAACCACGGGATTTGGGGAAGACTCTCACCTGAAAGATCCTTCATCACCACGTAATGGCCGGATCTCTTCTGGGCCTTCTCTCCCACAGCAACCAGCCCTGGGAACAACACAGTGCACTTCACATCCCTCATTCCCACCTGACTCCTGTGCTCTCAGCAGCAAAGCAAGGACAGGGATCCCTGGGAACACCTGGAGACTCCACACGAGTCTCAAGCCTCCCTTTCATCCAGCATTTTTCCCTCTGATTTTCCCAAAGGCTCCAGGAAGACTCTGAACAAAAAGCTTTGAGCAGTTTTGCACGGGCCAGAATCCCCCTGGTTTTCCATGGAAACCTGGTTTTCCACGGCCCCTCTGGAGGAACAAGAGGGGAACTGAAGAACTGGGTTCTGTGCAGCCCAAGAGTCCCTCAGTCTGCCTCCAGCACAGGGATAACGGAAGGATTCCCACGGAGCAGGAAACGTCCCTGTGTGTCCCCTCCTGCCAGCAATGAGCCCATGGAGTCGGGGCACACACGTGCTGCCTGTATTCCAATGTCCTGTGCGTGCAGGGTCACAGCCAGGGCACTGTCACCTCCATCCCCTGGGAAATAAGGCGGCAGAGGAGCAGGGAGCAGCCCCGAGTGGGTGCAGGGAGCACAGGCTCTCCCGGAGCCCCTGGCAAACACCAGAGCTCCACATTTTAACTTGGAAACTCTTCCAAGAAATGCCAGTGACCAGCTGTGAGAGAACCCCAAGTCTCTCCCCATGGATTTTACCATTCTCAGCCTTCATCCCTTCCACCTTCCTTTGTTTCTTACCTCAATTTTCCTGTTGTGGCTCTGGGCACTGAACATGGGGAGAAACTGCAATTGTTTCCAGTGTCTTCCTGCCCCTTCAGCTTTTTTTTTGGGTGGCATTTGGGTTTGTTTTGCTTTACAAGAAAGTCCTTCCCTCCTTACCAGACACTCATCCCAATACTCCTGCAGCTCCCAAGTGGGGAGCTTCCAAGGGGCAGGAACCCATCAGAGACAGAATTTTACATCCCAGACAACCAGAGAACTCTTTCTCCACGTTCAAACTCTCCCTGTCACTCCAAGGCACTGCCACTCAACTCCACATCTTGTCTCTGGGGCCTCAACAAGGAACTTCCAAGAGCTGCTGCCTCCTGAGTCGCTCCTTGGCACGTCCCTTGGGACTAGGAATTGTATTTTATTTGAGCAGTAAGTTCAAAAAGGTGTTAAAAACCCTTACAACACAAACCTGGGTGGGATATTTATTAAGTCAGATTTGTTTTCAAAAATTCCTGACTTTTCATTAAAACTCTGCACTGAAATTAAAAAAAAAAAAAGGCCTTTCCAAGCATTTAACCATCCAAGAACAGTAAAGTCTGAAGAAGTGCTCGTCCTAAATGGATAATCCCTGTCCAGCTGCCTCCCCCTGGTGCAGGACAGCTGCTGCCTCATCTCCCTGCGTCCCACAGCTGGTGGCTCAACAGCAGACAGGATTCTGCATCCAGGCAGAACTTCTGTGGGAATGGTCAGACAAGGCTGCCCACACGATCACAAATATTTCAGAGCCAGGAAATCCAAAGCAAAGCCCTAAGGTCATCCCTCTTTCCAGGTGACTGGCACAGCCAAGAAGAGAAATCCCTGGCACTCACTGTCACCAGCCACCTTTTGGTCTGAATTCCTGGACAAAGAAAGACTGTATAGAAAAAACCATGGGAAGAGTTTGGTCATTCACAGAATCCCAAAATCACTGAAGTTGGAAAAGACCTCCAAGGTCATGGAGTCCAACCTGCTTTGTTTTCTTCCAAGCTCAGTTCTGAGCAGCGACAAAAGCAAAACCAAGCCCTGAAATCCCAGAGCCCCAGACTGGTTTGGGTGGGAGGGACCTCAAAGCCCATCCAGGGACACCTTCCTGCTCCAAGCCCTGTCCAACCTGGCCTTGGAATAATTCCAAGTATTCCCATGCCGTGGTTTCAGTTGTGACCTATTCCACACACTAATGGTTCATGAAGAACAGAACAATTCCAGCAGAAATCCTGCCTGCTGGAATTCGGCATTCTGGATTGAAAATGGTCAGAACTTGGATGGGTTTTCAGGTGGAAAATTGCCATCCACACCCAAACCACCCTGGCCCAGCTGAAGGAGCAGCACCACTGCCTGGAATCATCTGCATGGTCCTGCTGCATCCAGTGGGTTTTCCAGCCAGGGACAGGAAACCATGGACAACTGGTGAGGTTTATGGAGAAAGGGAGGAGATGGCTCAAGCTGCCTCTGGAACCATCCCTGAGGCTGAGCACAGGAGCCTCCAGCAGATCAGAGCAGAGATGGAACAGCAGGGACACGAGGGACAGAAAAGGAGCCAAATCCACGTGGAAGCCCCAAGCCCTGAGTGTGACATCCCTGAGTGTGACACAGCCCCTGAGTGTGACACAGCCCCTGAGTGTGACACAGCCCCTGAGTGTGACAGCCCTTGAGTGTGACAGTCCTTGAATGTGACAGTCCCTGAGTGTGACATCCCTGAGTGTGACACAGCCCCTCAGTGTGACCGCCCCTGAGTGTGACAGTCTGGGGGGCTCTCACCCCATGTTAAACTGATCCACCTGCCACCCTGCCCTGCTCCTGCTCCAGCCACTTTCTCCACACCAGCCACCATGGCTCTTCCACGACCATCTCCCTGCCAGTGCCCTCTGTGTGCATCCCACTGGAGCACATCCCTGATGGAAGCCCTTTGTGCCAGGGAAGGCAAAGGACACCTGGCAGAGGTCACAGGCACAAGGACAAAGCCTAACCCAGAACAGGAGCTGTTCACTTCTCCAGGGAGGACACCCAGGAAGCACTTGCTCCAGCCAGGTGATCCTGCCCATCCCAGCCAGGGCAGCTTTGGAAGCCCAGGACGATGGGAAGCAGCACTTACCTTTTCGATCTGTCTTGAAGTCCACCATGATGGGCTCCACGCTGCCTTCCTTATTCTTCCCCAGCCCTTCTCCTTCTCTCCAGCCCATTTTCCTCATCAGCTGAGCTCCCATTCCTCCAGTGACGGGGGCTGCTCTTAAGAACTGATCCTATCCAGAAAAAGAGAAGTAAAACAAGGCCTGGAGTTAGCACTGGGATTTGAAATAGCAAGTGGGAGCTTCCAAAAAATGTTTCTAACAACCTTTCACGGACTGAATTTTAAAAAAAAATCCACCTGAGCTTTGTGGACTTTTCAGCCCAAACCAGTGTGTGGCACCCGGAATTCACACGGACACGCGAGACACGAATCAATGTTTGGCAAAAAGGAACAACTTCAGGAAACTCTGAGGTGATCCCAAAGTGGCAGTGACCTGTTCCAGACAGATGTGTTTGACCAAGCGACAACCAGCCGGTTCTAAACACTCTCTTTGATCCCAGAGATCTCCTGGGCTCGGGAAGTGTTCCGTGTGCCCGGCACGGCCGTGCCAGGAGCTCCTCCTCACCCACAGAACACAAGCACATTCAGGCAGGACATTCAGGGCTCTTTAGGTGTATTTAAATCTTAAAAAAAAAAAAAAAACCTCTCCAAATTGTATTCGTAACACGGCAATTGCACATTCGAGTTCTACCCTGAAAATCCTCGTGGAACAAAGAGCTTCCTCGTTTCCCTCGGGGTTTTTAACGGAAAAAGGCGCCGGGCCCCCCAGTTTAGCAGCAGAGCAGTTGTCACATTCTTTCAAATGAGCATTAATACAGGTTGTTAAATGGTGAAAGCTTAACAGAAAGTTTAAACATCTGCTTTCATGTAAAGAACCGTAAAAACTCCTTAAAAGTTACGTACCTAGGCCTCGCTGGCACCAGTGTTGGGAATAGTAGGGCTGGCACTGACCGTGGCAAGGAGGCGGCTACAAGGATTTGACCCTGAAACAAGTTTCCATATAGAGGGGTGAAAGTTCACAGGGTATTCTGTGAACCCTTCATCTCTCTCGTGCCCCCCCGCCGGCCCCAGGAAGCAAGTCAAGCGTTTCCATCCCACGGACTTGCTGCCTCGGACACATCACCCCGCACCGAGCGGCTCCAGCGCAGCGCGGGCGGGACGGACACGGACACGGCAACGGAACGGACACGGAACGCGACCCGGCCGGGCCTGCCGGGGCTGGGCTGGCACGGGAGGAGCGTCCCAGAGCTGCCTTCCCAGCAGACACAGCCCTGCTGCCTGCACACCACAGGCCTCTTCCCAAAGACTCTTGCCCAGCACTGGTGGATCCCTGCTCTCCTGACAATCACAGCTCCTCGGTGTCCTGGCATTGACAGATCCCTGATTTCTGGAGACTCGCAGTTTACTGGTTGTCCAACACTCATAGGTCTCTGGTTTCCCAGGATTGATGGATCCCTGGTTTCCCAACACTCACAGGTCTCTGGTTTCCCAGGATTGGTGGATCCCTGTTTTCCCAAGACTGATGGATCCCTCGTTTCCCAGGACGCACAAGTCTCTGCTTTCCCAGAAGTCACATGTCCCTGTTTTCCCAAAATTCACAGATCCCTGTTTTCCCAGGACTCTCAGGTCCCTGGTTCCCCTTCGTTCCCGTTGCAGAGCCTGTTTTCCAGGGATTCCCCACACCCCAGTGTGGGTGTGCAGGCCCGTGCAGGCTGGGAGAAGGATCCCAAGGACGTGCTGCAGACTGTGGCAGGAATTCCCCAGTCCCTGCCCACGAGCAGTAAAGCCCTGGCTCTGCTCTGGATCCGTGTGGGATGGAGGAGCAGAGCTCTGGCTGGGGCACAACAACCAGTCCCTCTGACAAGAGCCCTCCAAAGCCCCTCCTGACTCCCACTCCCCTCCTGCCCTCTCTGTTCCAGGGATGTCTCCCCAGAGAAGGACACAAAGCCAGCCCGGGACAGCCCGGCCCTGATCCTGGGTTTGCAGCTCCCTGGCAGTGCCCGAATTTGGGAAATCAGCCCCTGTTCCAGCAGCACCCCCTGTGTGTTCAGTTCACAAAGGACAGAGCAAGCTCCTGCTGAGGTCACTGCGATGTCACCAGCTCCCCACACACCTGTCCTGGCCCGGGCAGGGGGAGGAGAGAGCACAGTCAAAGCATCCTGTTCCGAGGGAAAAATCCCAGCCCTCGGTTCCCACCGAGGGAAAAAGAGCCTGAACAGACTCCAGAAACTGGGAAGAAAAACTTCTGAATTGCAAAGGGCAGTTTATTCCCAACACCTGTTCCCTGGCTGAACTGGGATCCTGGTGGGAGCTGCAGCAGGAGCTCTGTGCACCCCGGGGACTCCCAGGGACCAACAGGGAGCCAGACATGAGCACAGCTACTGCTAATTATCAATAATAATTCAATCCAGAACACACCAATACCTCTGCATCCCACTAAAAGGCTAAAGGAAGGAATTCTGAGTCCAGTGGGAAAGGAGCCAGGAGAAGCCCAGGTGGGTTCAGGTCACTGAGGCAGCAAAGTTTGCAGGGAGGAAAACCTCCCTCCCTCCTCATTCTGGTTTGCTTTTTTTCTTTTAATAATAAAGTGATAATAATTTATTATTAATAGGTGATAATTTAATAATAAAGCTCTGATGGCCCCTGTCCATTGTATTTTTTAATAATTTATTGACAGACCACTTCCCTCAGCCCAGGATTTAACGAGTGGGGGGAAAACTAGTGCTGGGTTTGGAACTCATCTGAAACATAAACCGTGACAGAAACAATCCCCAAAGCAGGGAAGCAAAATCCACATTTCTTTTCATGTTAAAAACCATCAAAGGCTGAGTCTCCCCAAGCTCCTGAGCAGATTCCAAGCTAAGGGGGCTGGGATACAACCACCCCCAGGTTTCTGAGCACTTGGTGACTGCTGCCAGAATTAACTGATTATTTACAAATCAGTTCTCCTTCCCTCACTGATCTCAATTTGAGGGAGCCTGCAGGACAATTTGATGCCTTTTTCCTCATGTTTGGAGCCCTAAGTTCCATGAAATCCCACTTCCATTCTGCCAGCACGTGGAGACACCAGAGGGTCACGTTCCTGCTTCTTTAAAGGGAAGGTAAAACCTGATCCCTTCCGAGGGTTTGGAGTGGGTTTAATTGACATTATTCCTGATTTTTCAGGTGATTCTTTGGAGCAAGAATTTAGGAAGCAAAACCAAAGCCCTGAAGGTATGAGGTGGCAGCTCAGGCACAGCCCAGGGATTAAAGGTCACTTGAACTCCAAGAACTTCTTCAAGTTCCAGGAACGAGCAGCTCTTCGGAAAAACTTGGGCCAAGTTGCTGAATTTTCCATCAAATCCTGGAATATCCTGAGCTGGGAGGGACCCCCAGGGATCATCCAGTGCAAGCCCTGCCTGCCCAGGACACCCCAACACTCCCCTCTGTCCCTGAGAGCATTGTCCAATCGATCCTGGAGCTCTGGATCAGGATCTGGAATCTCCCTGAGGAGGGAATCTGGGGCTGGTCCTGACCTGAAGATGCTCCAGCCCTTTCAGCACCAGCCCCATTCCTTCCCACACCCACGGGGGTGAATCCCTTGCTGGAGAATCCCAGCAAATGCCTCACAAATCCTGGAGTTCCCAAACTCCTGCAGGGTTTGTGCTGCACAGGAGAATTCCAGCTGGAACAGCTGGGAAAAGCAGCAGTGAGAGGAGGGAGGAGGGAGCCAGTCCAATCCAACTCACATGGCATGGAATCCCACACTGGTTGGGGTTGGGAGGGACCTCAAAGCCCACCCAGTGCCACCCCTGCCATGGACAGGGACACCTCCCACCAGCCCAGGGTGCTCCAAGCCCCGTCCAACCTGGCCTGGGACACTGCCAGGGATCCAGGGGCAGCCACAGCTTCTCTGGGCAACCTGTGCCAGGGCCTGCCCACCCTCCAATATCCAGGATCTGATGAGCACAGGGTTGGTTTGCTCCATTCCCACAGCCAGCTCTGTTCCCATGGAACACAGGGATTCCCTGAGTGCCCTGCCTGGAAGCTCAGCACTCCTGCCAGGGGAGCCCCAGCCCCAGCCCTGCCTCCCCCTCCGAGGAGTTCTGCTCTGCTGGGACTGGCAGGAATGGAAGGAGGGCTTGGAACTCTGCAGAAGCTGCTGCAGGCCAGGGCTGAGCCCAGGGGAGTGGCCCAGCAGGGCCCCAGGGCCACCCTGTGTGCACAAAGTGCCCCTGCAGGGCAGCTCCAGGCTCTGGAGGGGAGCTGGGAAATCCAGGAGTGGGACTCTGGGAAAGGGGAGTGGACAGACCTCAACAGAATTTGCTTGGAAAAGCAGAAAATATTGCACCACTTGCTCTGACATTCCTTCAGCAGCTCGGTGTGTTTGGAAGGAAGAAGGGAATAAATAAAAGAAGCCTTCAGAAGAAGAGTCATGTTTGTGAACTGATTACACTGATGGTGACCAACAGAAACAGAACCCACTTTTCCAAAGGGAAAGGTGACACTGCTCATAACTGCTTTGGGATACCACACACCTAACAGTGTTTTCTGCCTTTATGGATCCTGCTCAGGACCCTCCCCATGAACACCAAGAATCAGGACAGGAATTAGAAGATGAGCCTCACTCCCACTCAGGGTCCCCCACTGGTGCACCACGTTAACCACTGCAGGACCCCAGTCCCCCAGACACTGAGATCCAACCTGGAATTCCAGGCAGTTTAAGGACATATCACCTCTCCAGGGAGTTAAATCCACGAAATGCAAAGTGAAGTCAGAGCTCAGCAAACGAATCCCCCAAACCCCTTGGTGTCCTCCGCTCCTGACACAGCTCTCCTGTTCCACCTCCCTGCTTTGTGGGGATCTGTCACCCCCAGTGTCTGAGCATCCTCTCACTGTATTAATGAGGCCCCAATTAACTGGCTGACACAGCTCCACCTTTGCTGAACAGCCACAGCTCCTCCCCCAGCCACTGGACACGGCAAAGTCCCCAGGAAACGCCTCCAGGAATCAGCTCCACTCAGAAATGGGCATTAATTTACACACACAACTCCACAGCCCTGCCAGCAGATAAAAAATCACAGAAACACAGAACACCCTGAGTTGGAAGTGACCCACCAGGATCAGAGTCCAACTCCTGGCCCTAGTGATGAAAACCAGGTTTATGTTAAAATGTGTTTTCTTAGGGCAAAAAGGGAGCCCAAGCCTCACCCCTCAGTGCTACACTGATCAATTAATTAATAATTGTTACACCATTCCAAGTGCCCCAATAACACAACCTGGACTTTGCATTTCATGGGTGGTTTGCATTCGAGTCCCTGGGACAGAGATCATGGATTCAGGAGCCCTTCCTGTGGAATCCTCCTCAACCCCAGGATGGGACTCCAGCTGAAGGAACCCTCGGCACACCCTGAGCCCTCCGTGCGCTGTCAGCTCCCGGCTCTGCGGGTGTGGAACCTGGCAGAGCAGCTGAGGATGCCATGGCAGCAGCAGCACTGTGGCCTGCTTCCTTCACCCACCAGCTCCTCCTCTGTGCCCCAGTCCCGGGATGCTGCTGGGGAGGGCCCTGCAGAGCTGCTGCTGCTCACCCCGAGTTCCAGATCCAACACCACGCTCCGACACCCTCCTGCTCCTCAGGGCAGTCGTGTCCACAAGCACAGACCACGCTCTGCTCCCATTTTCTGCCCAGGAAGTGTTTCGTTGGGTGGTGTTTGGGTTTTCTGGGTGGTCGTTTGGGTTTGTTCAGTTGGCTTTTTCTAAAGCAGATCCCAGAGAGAGTTAAAGGAGCAGGAAAGCACAGCTGCCCTCCCCATTCCTGTCACACAGAACCCCCCAGCACCTCGAGCGAGGGGGAGGTTTGGGCAAGAGCTGAGCAGAGCTGCTCCCTTCCCACGGCCCTGGGAGCCCCTCCAGGGGCTGCAGAGGGACAACCTCCCTCACACACCTGCTGATCCCTTTCCCAAAGCTCCCTCCTCACCAGCACGTCCCTGCTGGGTGTTCATAGTTCCAAGTTCCTGTGGCAGGGATTGTCTTCATCAAAGGCAACCTTTTGGTACAGCCTCAAACCAGCCTTCCTCAGGTGCCTCCTGCTTTAGCACTGACAAGATCCCCAAAGATTCCCATCTGGCCAGTGACTGGAATCTGAGCTCCCTGGCTCTCTGCACTGCTTGGCCATGTGAAGTGGAAAAACAGGGTAGTGAATCCTGGCAAAAACGTTTCTATTTTTAGGGTAATTCCAGGCTTTTGTGTTCAGTTCACACTGACTTTTATGGAAAATTCCACTTCAGCCTCCTAAGCGAGCTCCCAGCCTGGAAGGTGTCTGAACACAAGCTGATACAGCACAGACCCAGCTGCACCACCTGCAAGACCGACCAGCACATCTCATCATTCCTTTGGCCTGAAAGGTGGACACTGCTGGAATTCCTCAGTTCTGCTCCTTGTCAGAGCCCCAGCTCACTGTTCACTGGCAAAGATGAAGCCTGAGGAATCAAATTCCTAAAGCACAGAGTGCAGGATGCACCACACCCCAAGAGCAGCCAGAGAGAAGCTGCAGCAAGAGGGACTATTCCACTGTACACACAAACAGTATCAGGATGATATTAACACATTGACTCAGCTGCAACTCCTGGTTTAATCCTCCAAATCTGCGGCTCCCAGAAAACCCTGGTGATCCAGACAGAGGCAAAGGAGCAACCAGAGAGAACCAAGGCAAACACAACGGCGGTTTGGGCCTTGGTTCGCTGCAGCTGGTGCCAAAACTCCCTGACTTCATCAACATCAGGTTCAAACCTTGCCTGAGCTGTCCCAGTCCCAGGAAAGGAGTGATGGATCTGCCACTGCAGCCAGGGCAGTGCCAGGCTGTGGATCACCAGGTGCCCACTGTCACACACCTCAGTGACAGCAAAGGCACACGGCAGCACCGAGGTCTGGGCAGACACAGATCTAACCCAACCTGCTGGACTCGGCACATGCACGACCACAGGGCTCTAAGGCACATTTCTGGCACTTTCCAGAACTTGCACTGCTTTTCAGACTGTGCAGGTGACACAGGTGTGTCTGGTAACTTCTACCTTTCGGATCCAGGCCTGGGGGCCGCTGTTGGTGAGCTCGTCCGAGGACAGGATCTGTGCCCCAGTGCTGCCCGTGAACTGGCCAGGGATGGAGTTGGACTGGGCCCAGGCATCAATCTGCAAAGGAAAAAGCACAGGAGAGACCACAATAAACATCTGCACCTTCTCCTCTGTGACTCTCCGTTGTTCCTCAGTGCTTTCCATGCCGATTCCTCATTTACATTCAGCGTGTTCATTAACAGCTGTGAGCAGGTGCTCCTGAAAGCTGAGCACCTGAGTGGTCACCCTGAAGCCTGAGCTCCAAGTCTAGTGAGTTCATGGTCCCCTAATCAAAACTCAGTGCTAGGAAGTGCATGGTTTCATGAGTTCCTTATCCCACAGTTCGGTGTCGGGAAGCGCGAACCACGGCAGGACTTTACGAGCCCATCAACTGCTTTCCAAACACGTTTGCTTAAAGAGGCCAGCCCAACCAGCTGGGATGGAAGGGAAGGCCAGATTTTCTCCCAGATGCCCCAGGTGCTGCTGGCAGCCCGACATACCTGCTCCTGTGCTCGGTTCAACATGCACATGGCCTCCAGGTCGAAGGAGTTCTCGTTGAGCCTTTTCTGGGCCACCGCCCGGTCGTTCATGGCCGTGGTTATGTCCACACACTGGGGAGAGAGAGAGCACTGGTAAAGATACAGCACAGCACAGCGGTGTCCTCTGGATCTGGGAAAAGCTGCTGGAGAGTAAGTGCTGCCAATACTGCAAAGTGGTTTTCCACAACAAATAGTCTGCTTGATAAAGAAACGGGCACCACGACAAAAACCCCGGGGCTACAAAAATCCACATGAGATGGGCCTTCCTAAAGAAACACAAATTCCAAGTGTAACATCACCTGTACACACTAGATATCCAATGAGGTTTTTTCTAAGAACTATTCTGGCCACAAAAAAATCTGCAGAGAAGCATTTTCGTGTTCAATGGCATCTTCTTCACCAACAGAATTAAACAAGGGACAGGAGGAGAGGGAACGGCCTCCAGCTGTGCCAGGGGAGGCTCAGGTTGGCCAGGAGGAGGAATTTGTTGCTGGCAAGGGTGGTCAGGCCTTGGCAGGGGCTGCCCAGGGAGGTTTGGAGTGCCCAGCCCTGGAGGTGTCCAAGGCAGGCCTGGCCGTGGCACTCAGTGCTCTGGGCTGGGGGACAAGGTGGGGATGGGGCACAGGGGGATCCATGGGCTGGGAGGGCTTTTCCAACCCCAGGGATCCTGGGATTCTGTAAAAGCAGGTTGGGAGCTCATAAAATTCACTGTTCTGGAAAGAGTTATTTCCACCTGTGCTGCTGAACTACAACAAAACTTAAAGAAAAGTAAATCTGAATCTGTCTTGTGGAGTCCCTTGGGTGAGAACATGGAGTGTGTGAAGGAGCTCTCTGCAAACCTCCCCTCTGTGGGATGAAAACACAACCAATTGTGGCTGGTGCACAGCTCTTTTCTAAAATCCTTGTGCCTTGCTCCTCAGAGGATGTGCATTTTATGGACCTGTCTGTCTGGGAAGGAGAAGGGGAAGACATGGAATTTCCTTGGAGCTGTGACAGACAGTGGCAGGGCTGGGACTGTTTGAGGACAGGAGAAACCCAACAGTCAGAGCAGCAGCTGGCACACACACCTCGAGGTGAAGGGGCATTTTGACTTCATTTTAATTGGCTCTGTAAAAGCCTTTGGCAGTCACCATCTCACAGCCTCACACACTGCACAAAGGAGGAGAAACTGAGACTCAGCTGAACTAAACAGAGAGTTCATCCATATCCCCCTGCCCCTGGAACCAGGTCAACAATTAACTCAGTACTGAAAAGCAGTCACAGGCAGACATGGGTTTCTACAACTGCACCAAACACAAGTACTGGCTCTGTGCTCTGTTAAATCTGATTGAAGAGGTGGGATTTTTTGTTAAGAGTTCAGGACACAGGTGTTTCTGTGGTGAAGATCACTATCACACAGAGTACAACCAAAGCACAAGAACAATCAAACTATCATCTCAAATCCCCTCACAGGTATGTAAAAATGCCTGTTAAAAACACACATTGGCTGAGTCCATAAATTTCCCTCACGTGCTCGAGTAATTGTTGAATTATCCGTTCGTGACACTGGTTCAGGAGATAGATAAGAGTTCTACTCACCAAAAGCTTCACTCCACAACACACACAGGCATGGGAGCAGCCCAGGAAAGCAGCCTGGCACCACTGCCATGCCAAACCTGTGTGTTAGTGCTTTGGGGGCTGGGGCTCTCAGCTCATTCCCTGGTCACTTAACTGCCCAACACTTCCCAAATGGCCAGGACCACTGTGGGCACCATCAGGGCTCTGCGCCAACACCCTCCAGGGCAGCTTTGGATCTCCAACAACAACACAAATCTCTGCTTGAAGTACGAAAAGTTGTTATTATTGAGTCGAGGCAAACAGTGGAAGTGCAGTGTTCCATTCTCCCCCGAGTTCTGCCTGGCCAAGCCTCATCTTCCACAGCTTCCCCCCAGATCACAAGTCCTGCAGCAGGAGGGATGTGGCTGCCAGTGGACAGTAGGTTTTTCACCTGCTCTGTAGGTTCACTGACTGCATTTCCTGCATTTTTACACCACTTCAGCACCTCTGCCCAAGTCACCTGGGAGGCTCCAGCCTGAAATCCAACACTCAGCTCCACAGTTCCAAACACAGCTCCTTCTCACAGGCTCCTCTGCCTTCTGCACACCTGCTGAGCCTCCAGATCGCTCCAGACCTTTTCCTCCAGCTCCTACCACCACAAACAACTCTGTAAGAGCTAAAGGGTTACTAAAACCAGCTGTGCCTGGCAGGCTCCTTTCAGACTAATGCAGTAAGTAAAAGCAGAGCAATGAAACCAACTGTGTGGGTTTTCATGTCAGTCCAGGCTTGCATCACAACTCTCACAGTATTTTAGAATTAGGAACAACGAATGGAGGGAAATTATATGTGAAACTTTTTAAGGATCCCCCAGGTAAAGAGCTGATCTGCCTCACGTTGCTCAAAGGGAGCCATTTCCACCTCAGAGTCCCCATAAACATATTTAAAAATCAGGCAGAGAAGCAACTCTGTTACCTGTCAGACTCCCTGCAGGAACACACGGGAATTCTGCTCCTATTTCCCACTTAAGCCTTGCCAAGCCCAAGGGATGGGACACTCTGAGCTAACGGCCCCTGAAATCACCCTTAACACAAACCAAGTTAAGGTAAATGCAAATAAAAATATTTATTTACAAATATAAAAGCAGACAACATAGTTACAGGCATTTATAAACATACACAGGACAGAAAGGAAAGTTATGTTCCATATATTTACTCCAGTGAAACTGGGAATGACCTTCTGCACAAACATCTCAGGGGTTGTCTCGCTAGTGGTGCCTGAGAGCCCAAACTGAGGGAGCAAGGAATGGGGTTTCTGGCCATCAAATTCCCAGGTATCCCAGGAAAATGTTGGGAAGGTTACACTCCCTGTGCTTTTGGTGCTGTAAAACACCCAGAAAGAAAATTCCTTCTGTGCTTCAATTGTACAGTACCAGAAAGTTCTTGGAAAACAAAACACACCAAGTGAAGGGATGGTTTTGTCAGAAATGGGTGGAAGGGGTCTGGTTTTGGCTTTGGAAGGTGTGAGAACAAGGCTTCAGGTGCAGTGAGGTAACAGCAACTTAAAGAAATTAACATCTGTCCTAAATATTTAATTTATCTATTTACAAAAACCCCCACAAAATGTTCTTTGGAAGAAATCTCAAGGGGGAAAAAACTTTTGCTCTGGGTTTTTTTAGTTTATTATCCACACAATCAGATTGTCCTTTGGAAGGTCAAGTGCAAAACAGCCATGTGAGAAAACCTGCCTGGAAAGCTAAAAAAAATCAATAAATACATCCTGAGGAGATGGCAGTTTTAAAACCACTTACAATTTCCAATGGCTCACATTCCAGTGGGATGTTCCTACTCTAAGATCAGGGGGACAATTTTAGTAGCATTACATACATTCCTGTCAAAGTCTCGAGGTGTTAATCAACCTCTGCAGGAAACTCAACAAGGAACTTTTATCTCCTTTTCCAGCTAAAGTTTCAATTCCCTGGAGCCCAAGGAGCCAGCAGCTGAGCAGAGCCCAGGGGTGGGACAGGCTGCTCCCACCCTGCCCCAGGAGCGTCCCAGCTGCAGAGCTCAGCTCCCCAGCTCACTCAGCTCTTAGGTACCACCTTTTTAAGTGCCTTTTTTGTTTTGCCAGGCTGCACTTTGGTCCCAGCCTGCCCAGGTAATGGTTTTGGCTTTCTGATGTGATAGGCTCTCCTTGCCTTCCTTACCTCAATGGCTGGTTTGGGGAACACATCGTCCTTGCCGTCGTCCTTGCCCCCCTTGTCAACGGGAACCCACTCTCCATAGACACTGTCTGCCTCCTTCTTCCTGTGCTGGGACCCCGAGGACACAGGGAATTCCTTGGACAGGCTGACCTGGTTTTTTGGTTGGGGGGGTGGTGCTGGTTTTATGCTGGGAGTCTGAAAGGAAGAACATGGCAGAGTTCAGAGCTGCAGACACGCAGGACCCCAAAGGGACGGGCTGCAAACACCCAGGGCTCAGTTCCACAAACACTCCCCCTCCTCATTCCGTAACAAGAACCTACAATCGTTGTAACAAACCAACCCACATGTCAGCAACACATTCACTGCGCCAGAAGGTGAAAATTCACTGACATCACCTTCAGTGCCCCCAATCTCCCAACCCTCCCTGTCCCAGCTGACCCTGGCACAAAGAGAACAGCCCTCATCTGCCCCACAGGGATTTTGTAGGGAAGGCTCCAAGGGAAAAGCCCTGGGCAGCCAAAGCACTGGCTGTGATCAAAAGCTCTGCATGGCCAGACAGAGCACTTGTCAGCATCTGGTCTGCCCATCTGGGGTTATTTTTTCCAGCAGGAATTTCCAAGCACATTCCGTCTAGGACCTTATTTTCCTCAGACAGTGCTGGCAATTTCTGCAGAGCCTGCACAGACCTCTGCCAGGATCCCTCCCAGAAGGCAAGCCCAGGTGGGATAACAGTGGATAAACTCCCAGGAACACGGATGGGAATGGCTGACAGACTGGACTGGAGAAAGAACAACACTGAAAGGGTCAAAGGCGTGGCCAACAGGCAGAGCAGCCCCTCACCACCAGAGAACACCCCTCTCTGGAGCCTGGAAGGTTTCTTGAGTTTCACTGTACCCCTTTCTAACAATACAATCTAAAATCTCTATCTTACACATCTAAACATGTATTACTGCTTATTTTGTGCACACCACAAGATACATGTATTTATACACAAGAATAAGAATGTTATTTCTACCCTTATTTCTAATATAATAATCTAATGCTATTTCTATTTTCACTGAGCATATTAAATACTTTTCTACTACTTTATACCCTGCAAAATCAGAACAGACTTCCACGGGCACAAAAAAAAAAAAAAAACACCAAAATTAAAACTGGGAAAAACCCACCACCTAAAAAAATCCCAAAAACTGACAAACCAGGAGAAGTTAAACTAGTTAGTTAGTTGATGCTAATTGATCCTTCAAAGCATTTAAGCCCCAGATGCACTTCAACACACACTCCCAATTTCCCTAAGGTTATGAATTTAACCTGAATTAAACTGACAGAGAAACACTCCCGATTTCACCAAGACCATCACCCCCTGCAGTGCTTCTGTCCAATAACTGGCATTATTTGAAAAGAACCACGGTCCAAAGCATTGCAGACTCCAGTGGTACTCACACTTAAATTGAAGAAAATAGGTTTGGGCTCGCTGAGCTTGAATGGGTGGTTGTAGAAGGGCCGTTCCTCCTCCTCCTCGTCCGACACGTGGGGTTTGTTCACGATCACATCGTCCGTGCTCTGGGCAATCTTCTTGCACTTCTGAAAACGGAACGTCAGCGCTGAGTAAACCTGCACTGTGCACCCAGGCACACCCACAGCACTTCTAAACAAAAAAACGCCTTTCTTTTCTGAACAGAAGAAAACCTTTCAGCAAGGGCACCAGCAGATGGACCTGGGATGTGCCACACAAATTATCCAATGCCAGGCACTCCTTGGTGCCAGCTCAGGGCCTTGACAGAAGCCACAGCTCCCACATTCCTTCTGGAATACTGGGGGGTTGGCCAGGGATGCAGGACACCCCCCTTTCACTGAATACAGAACACAGAGGTGCTGGGCACATGTCAAATCAGGAGAAGCCTCCATGGTAGGAAATGAGAAAAAAAAAACGACAAAAGACAAAAAGAATTTCTAGAGAGGCCATAATTTTGTGGTTCTCTCCTGATTTCCCAGCACCTGGATTGTTTCTGTGGCAGACAACATCCAGTAGATTCCCAGAGTTGTAAGGGAAAGGAGGGGCAGGTCTGGGGCTTCCAGATCAGCACAAACTACTTTGGATCTTGGTCAGGAGACGTGAAAAACCACTCCAGGTGTGGGCACAGGGCACCTGCACCACCTCAGCTCCTGGACTGTCCCTCTGCTGCCCCTGGCCCGGGGACAACTGGGAGAGGATTTCTCAGCACTTGGACACTGCTTCACCTCAGATGTTATCTCCAGAACTGTCACACTGCTGATGTAATTAAAAGAAACACATAAAAACACTTCTGTGTTCCAAATTCTCTCCAGTTTCTGGGGGAAGTGTCCAAGGCCAGGTTGGACGGGGCTTGGAGCAGCCTGGGCTGGTGGAAGGTGTCCCTGCCCAGGGCAGGGGTGGCACTGGGTGGGCTTTGAGGTCCCTCCCAACCCAAACCATTCTATGATTCCATAACAACACCAGAGCCAAAAACTATTATGTTTTTGAAGTGAAAGCTTTGTGTTTCATGGACAGAAGTGCAGGGAGAGACACCAATTCAGAAAAAATGGGAACAGAAGTAGAACTGAAAAAAAAATGTATATAAAAAACGGCAAAATAATTGGATTTCATGCATTTCTATGTAATTAAAAACATCAGTTTTAGTGACTTAAACCAGAACTGTGTCCAGAATGAGGGCTCAAAAGGGTGGTCAGGCCTTGGCAGGGGCTGCCCAGGGAGGTTTGGAGTGCCCAGCCCTGGAGGTGTCCAAGGCAGGCCTGGCCGTGGCACTCAGTGCTCTGGGCTGGGGGACAAGGTGGGGATGGGGCACAGGGGGATCCATGGGCTGGGAGGGCTTTTCCCACCTGGACAATTCTGTGACTGCAAACCCAAAGCAGCTCACACGTGCCCCGAGCACACAGGCCCGCACTGCCTGCCCCTGCCCAGAGCCCAGCTGGGTTATGCTCAGGTTCAGCTGCTGCTCCCCCTCACCTCCGTGAGCTCCTTCAGCGTGTCCCGGGAGGATTTCTGGTTGGCTTTGTCGTCCTTCTTCTGGGACAGCAGGGGCATCAGGCTGGGGGGCAGGGGCACCCCGGACTTCGCACACATGGCGGCCGCGTTGGCTTTGGCGATCTCGAGGAGCTGGGCCTTGTCTGGGGAGAGGCATTTTGGTAAAGTGAGTGATTACTGTTTACAGGCTGCTCTTTTAATAAAGAAGAAGCATTTCTGGCAAACTGAACAAGATTTTACCCACACTGTGCTTTTAATACGTTCTGTGAAAATCACTGCTCGTGTAAAATACAAATATGTGCAAAACTGTTAAAGAAACAGTGTTTGGCTTTATTAGGAAGTCCTGTGACCCTGGCAAAGAAATAGGGTATGGAACTAAACTAAGCCTCCTGCCAGCTTGCAAATAAACGAGTTACCACCTTCTGGTACTGGTAGGCTCCCAGGGTAACTGTGAGGCAGGACTAGGAGGATCAGAACCTCCAGTCCACCACAGGAGGCCACTGTACAAGAGCTCAGCTCCAAATTCAAACCTTCTTTCTCCTTCCTTAACTCACTACCCAAGGAAACCCCATGGCCTCTCTTCCCTCCAGCACAGAGAAAAGATGCAGCTCATTAAGGGTTTTTCTCTGATTTTCCAATCTGCTGAGTCTAAGATTATTTTTAGAAACGAGTCCCCCTTTCCTAGAAGTTCTTACCATGGGAAAGAGGTAAGACAGGGTCCTGGGAACAGGTGACAACAGATCTTGGGACTCTCCAGTTGGAACCTCAATGACCTTTCAGGCCCAACTTGTTCCCAGGAAAACTAGAAATTCCGAAGTCTCTAATGTCCAATCACTCGGCCTTCACCAGCTCCTACCAGGCAGGGAGCTCCTCCAGGCTGCTGCCTTTGCCCAGGGGCTCCAGGGCCCGGGTACCCCCTGCTCCACGGGCACTTCCACCCAAACCCAGAGCGGCCATTCCGCTCCAACATGGAAGGTCCCACTGGAAGTCACTGCCTAAAAGTAACACGCAGAACGACTTCCAAGGAATTCCTTGTGAAGGCTGCAGGGAGCGCTCGACTGTGCAGACCAACCCCCCTTACTGAAAACAAGGCCTCACTCACCCAGGTCCGTGAGACGCTTCGGGGACCTGCTGGAGAACTCGGAGGAGCGGGAGCGGCGGCGGTCGGGGGACCTGCTGTACCTCCTTCGCCCTGAAGACCTCGAGCGCCGCAGTCGGATCGGGGACCTGCTGGAGCTCCGTCTCCTCCCTCTGGATCTCGACCTCCTTTGCCGAAGAGGCGTCCGACTCCTGCTCCGCAACCGGAGCGATATCCTCCGATCCCTGGAATCCGATCTCCTCCGTCTTCTCTCGGCAGACCTGGATCTGTTTCTCTGAGACCTCTTGCGCCTGTCCCTGGACAAGGAGCGTCGCCTCCGGGACGCTGACCGTGACCTGCTCCTCCTCCTGTGCCTGGACCGTGACAAGGAGCTGGAGCGAGAGCGGCGGTTGGATTTGGATCGCGAAGCTCTCCTCCGCGTGGCTGACCTGGAGCGATTCCGCCTGGAGCGAGAGTCCGTGTCGTATCTCTTGGACCTGCGCTGAGAGGACCTGGAGCGCCTGCTCCTGGACCTGCGTGAAGACTCTTTGTCCACCGCCTTCTCCACGGATTTGGACTGGCTCCTTTGGCGAGCGGTGGACCTGGAGCGCCTACGCCGGGACCTGCGGGTGGACTCTTTGTCCGTCGCCTTCTCCACGGACATGGACTGGCTCCTTTGGCGAGCGGTGGACCTGGAGCGTCTCCGTCGGTACCTCCGCGTGGACTCTTTGTCCGCTGCTTTCTCGACGGACATGGATCGGCTCTTCTGGCGGGTGGGAGACTTTGATCTCTGGGGAGACTCTTTGTCAGACACTTTGTCAACAGATTTGGATCTAGACTTTTCACGTTCAGAAGACTCGGAACGTCTGCTTTCAGGGACAAAGTCCTGTTCCTCCGACTGCTCCAGAGGCACGGAATCCTGCTTATCTTCATCTGCCAAAGAGGGCTCCGCATCCTCACCCTCCTCTTCCCCACTGGAAGACTCTGACTCGTGCTCCTCTGACGACGTGGAGTCTCTTTGTTCAGCTGTCAAGGAGGGCTCTGCATCATCTCCTTCTTCTTCCCCGGTGGTAGACCTGGACTCAGCCCCGTCAGGGGATGCAGAACGTCTGTGCTCAGCTGTCAGAGAGGGCTCCACATCCTCTGCTTCTTCACCAGCCTCAGACCTTGACTCCTGCTCATCCGACGACGTGGAATCTCTTCGCTCGGCTGCCGAGGAGGGTTCCACATCCTCTGCATCCTCACCAGCAGTAGACCTCGACTCGTGCTCATCAGAAGATGTGGAGTGTCTGCGTTCAGCTGTCAAAGAGAGCTCCTGATCCTCTGCTTCTTCGCCAGCACTTGACCTCGACTCGCGTCCGTCTGGAGACACAGACCGTCTGTGTTCGGCTGTCAAGTCCTCTGTCTCTTCACCAGCTGTGGACTCGCGGTCATCAGAAGACGTGGAGTGTCTACGTTCAGCCGTCACAGAGGCCTCCCCATCCTCTCCATCCTCCCCAGCAGTGGACCTCGACTCGTGCTCGTCAGAGGATATGGAGTCTCTTCGTTCAGCTGTCAAGGAGGGTTCTGCATCCTCTGCCTCCTCCCCGGTGGTTGACCTTGACTCGTGCTCATCAGAAGACACGGAGCATCTACGTTCTGTTGTCAGAGGCTGCTCCAGATCCTCTGCTTCTTCACCCGCGCTTGACTCCTGCTCTTCAGGGGAGCTGGAACGTCTCTCCACATCCTCCATTTCCTCATCTATGGGAGATTTCCGGTCGTGGCCCTCGGGGGACACAGACCGCCTGTGTTCAGAAGTCAAAGAGGACTCCAGACCCTCTTCCTCCATGGGAGATTTCAGCTCATGACCCTCCTGATAGGAGGACGTGGAATATCTACGCTCAGATCTCAAAGAGGGCTCCAGATCCCCCGTTTCTTCTCCCGGGCCTGATCTCACACTGTAGCCGTCCGGAGACACGGAGCGCTCACCTTCAGGCAACAAAGAAGGCATCGCGTGGTCCATTTGCTCAGCAGGGATGGATTTATGGTCCCTGTCATCAGGGGACATGGAGGCTCTGTCGTTCAGTGCCAAAGGCTCAAGGCCGTCTGTTTTTCCAGCACTGGTGAATCTCAGCTCCCGCCCATCAGGAGATGCTCCATGGTCATTGTCAGGTGTTGGAGAGAGCTCCTGCTCATCTGCTTTCTGAGGAGGGGGGAACCTCACCTCCTGGCTCTCAAAAAACAAATGGCCATGTTCAGATGCCACAGCATCCTCTGCTCTCTCAGCAGGAGTCACTCGCGGTTCATAATCCTCGGGGGACAGAGCGTGTTCGTTTTCAGATGTCACAGAAGGTTCCTTGGCCTCCACTCTTTCAGTGGGGCTAGACTGCAGCTCCTGACCTTCAGGGGACATGGGACACTCACCCTCAGACAAAGACAACTCCTGCACCTCTGTTTTTCCAACAGCTGCAGGCTGCAACTCCTGGCTGTCGGTGGATATTGAACTTTCACTTTCAGATGCTTCAGAGGGTTCCTCCAATTCTTCTTTCTCAGCAGGACTGGATCTCAAATCTCGCCTCTCGGGGGACACATCGTACTCATTTTCAGACAGCAAAGAACACTCCTGCACCTCTGGTTTCTCAGTGTAAGCAGGGAGCAGCTCCCGCCCCTCGGGAGACGCAGCGTACTGGCTGGCTGGGACGGGTGACGGCTCCTGCACTGCCGCGTTCCCAGAGAGGCCCTGAGGGAAGATGGAATATTCACTGCCAGGTGGCAGACAGGGCTCCTGTGCCTCTTTTTCAGCTGGGCTGGCCATCACCACCTGGCCTTCAGGAGACACTCCAGCACTCACAGAGCACTCCTGCCCCTCTGCTTTTGCAGCCAGGGAAGATGGCAGCGTGTGGTGTTCAGCAACCACAGCATAGTCACTGTGGGGCACCACAGCAGCCTCCTGCGCCTCTGCCCTTCCAGGAGAGCTGGACCTCAACTCCTGGGGCAGCCAGGACACGGTGTACTCGCTGTCAGACCCCAGGGCAGGCTCTTGCAGCTGGGCCTTCTCAGCAGAGGGTGCCTGCAGCTCCTGGCTCTCGGCAGACACCCAATTTCTCTCCTCAGACATCTGGTAAAGCCTGCGCAGCTCTGTGTTCTCAGCAGGGGTCGACGTCAGCTCCGGGCCATCGAGCCCTATCGCGCGTTCACTGTCGGACACTCGGGAAGGCTCCTCCACCTCAGCTCTTTCCAAAGGGGTGGATGTCACCTCGTGACCGTCGGAGGACACCGAACATCTGCTTTCCTGCACCTGTATTTCAGCGTAGGCAGATCCCAGCCTGTAGCCGTCAGGGGAGGCAAGGACTTTCAGCTCAGATGAATTCAGCACCTCCACTTTTTCAGCAGGGACAGGTCTCAGTTCATGGCAGTCGGGCATCAGGACAACCCCCCCTTCCGATGTCAGAGCAGTCCCTGGGGGCTGCAGTTTTTCAGGTGTGCTCACTGCTTCTCCATCAGCAGACACAGAGAACCCACTTTCCAGCGAGAGGGGAGACTTCTGGATCTCCCCTTTCTCAACTGCAGCAGGTGCCAGTTTGTAGCCTTCGGGGAACACCGAGCACCTGAGCTCAGACGCCACTGACAGTCCTGCACCTTCTGTGCTCTCAAAGGAATTGTACTTTGCTTTGTGGCCATCGTGGCACACGGGAATCCCGCTCTTGGAGAGCACCACAGATCCTGCACCGTCTATTTTCCCAGCAGGCAGGTATCTCGACTCGTGTGTTTCCGAAGATCCCGAGCAGTCAACCTCGAGGACTTGGGGAAGCGTCGGGCCGTCTAAACCTTGGCCAACAGATGATCTGGACTCATGAACTTTAAAGGAGGACACTGAGACGAGGTCATCAGAGTTCTCAACAGGACCATGCACAGACGTGAGGGAAACATCTGCAGCCTTGACTTTTTCAACAGATAAGTATCTTTGTTCATTTCCACCTGGGGACTCGAAGGACTCCCCTACAGACAATGAAGGCCGGTCTACTGGAGCAGCAAAGCTGGACCCCAATCCATGTCCATCAGGAGACATGAAGGGTCCGCTGTCAGAAACCAGAGAAGGCTCCTGGATCTGGCCAGACTCACAGCCATCAGGGATCGCAGGGTGGGTCCCTTCAGGTGCCAGGGAAGGCCTCTGGGCTTCCCCTGCTCCAGGGCTGGCAGCCAGCTGGGAAGATCCATGTTCAGGGACTTGCAGAATCTGCGGGAGCTCTGTTTGCTCACCAGGGATATGTCGCAATTCAGGACCATCAGCCAAGTTGGAGAGCGTGCCTTCGGACAGCACAGAAGATCCCTGAACTTCCACTCTGCCAGAGGATGAGGAGATGGTCTTGGAGTCGCTTAGAAATGACGGAGGAAGCTCTGGACCTTCTACTTCTCTGAGAGTTCTGGACACGTCTCCATGGGATGTGGAGACATGGAATTCTGCTGCTGAAGAAGTTTCCGCATCTCTCCTTTTTTCAACAGATGAAGATCTTGATTTGGGTGTGGAATATGGAAGTTCAGGTAGCGGTGAAGACTCCAGAGCCTCTGCTTTTTCAGCAGATCCATTTTCAGATGTCATAGAAAGCTCTGAATCCTGTGTTTTTTCCACAGACATTGATCTCAATTGCCGGTCATCTGGAGTTTTGGAGGTATCCAATTCAGACATGGCAGAAGACTGCAGATCTCCTGTTTTTTCAACAGACAAGCTTTCCTCAAGGTTATCAGACGTTTTGGAAAAACCACTTCCATATGACGGCGGCAGCTCTGGGCCGTTTATTCCCTGATCAGACAAAGACATGGGACCATTGGAAGATTTGCCTTCACTTCCAATAGAAGGCTCAGGAACATTTTCAACACCTTTGGTAGACTCCTGAAGTTCAGACGACTCTGCATGTTTGCTGGACTTTGATGATGACGACTTATTGTCTCTTTTTTCTACAGATTTGGACCTTGACTTAACGCTGTCAGAGGACTTGGAACGTTTCCGTTTGGATTTTTTGGAAGATTCCTTGCGCTTTTTTTCGACAGACCTGGACCTGGACTTGTAACGTTCGGAGGATTTTGAGCGGCGGCGCTTGGATTTCCGTGAGGATTCCTTCTTCTTTTCCACTGATTTGGATCTCGACTTGTAGCGGTCCGAGGACTTGGAGCGCTGGCGTTTTGACTTGCGCGACGATTGCTTCCGATCTCTCTTTTCTACCGACCTGGATCTCGACTTGTAGCGGTCCGAGGACTTGGAGCGCTGACGCTTCGACCTCCGCACAGACGCCTTCCGACCTCTCTTCTCTACAGACCGGGACCTGGATTTGGAGCGATCGGAGGAGCCAGACCGGTGCCTGAACCTCCAGGAGTATTCTTTGCCGCCTCCCTTTTCTGAAGACCTGGATCTAGACTTGGAACGGTCAGAGGACCTGGAATGTCTGCGGCGGGATCTCCAGGACGACAACCTCTTCTCCACTGACCGTGACTTAGACCTGTAGCGGTCAGAGGACCTGGAGCGTCTGCGCCCAGACCTGCGAGAGGACAGTCTCTTCTCCACTGACCTGGACTTGGATCTGTAGCGGTCAGAAGACCTGGAGCGTCTGCGCCCGGACCTTCTGGAGGACAGTCGCTTCTCCACGGACCTGGACTTGGACCTGTAGCGGTCAGAGGACCTGGAGCGTCTGCGCCCTGATCTCCGTGAGGACAGTCGCTTCTCAACGGATCTGGATTTGGATCTGTAGCGGTCAGAAGACCTGGAGCGTCTGCGGCCAGACCTTCGGGAGGACAGTCGCTTCTCCACGGACCTGGACTTGGATCTGTAGCGGTCAGAGGACCTGGAGCGTCTGCGTCTGGACCTCCGCGAGGACAGTCGCTTCTCCACGGACCTGGATTTAGACCTATAGTGGTCAGACGACCTGGAACGTCTCCGCCTGGACCTCCCAGAGGACAACCTCTTCTCTGCTGACCTGGATTTGGACCTGTACCGGTCAGACGACCTGGAACGCCTGCGCCTGGACCTCCGGGACGACACTCTTCTCTCTCTCTTGTCCACAGATCGGGATCTGGATTTGGAATGCTTTTTTCTGGAAACCGAATAGTTTCTGCTCCTGGAACGGGCTCTTTTGGAGGTCAAGCGCCTGGAAGTAGAGCGGGACCTGGATTTCTTCTTCCGCTTCCTAGACCTGGACTGAGACTTGGAGCGGCTCCTCTTCTTCTTTGAATCGTGTTTTTTCTCACTGCTTCTATGGCTGCTTTTCTCAACCACGTTCTCCAGTCTCATGAGAGTCTCCTTCATTCGTGCTGCCACATCAGGTTGCACATCAGATGTTTCTGAGTCTCTTTTCTCTGAGTCCTCTTCTGGAGTTGCTTCTTTGACATCCTCAGCCTCTGGAATGACTTCTGCCTGGGCTGCTTCTGCTTCAGTCTCAGGTACTGGAGCTGCTTCCAAATCTTTTGTCTCTGCCTCCAACCCCACAGCTGCTGCATCTTTCAGCTCTTCATCGGTCTGAGGAGCAGCTTCCGAATCTTGCGTTCCTGCCACAGGAGTCCCTGTGGAGTCTTTTTCCTCTGCAGCATGTGAAGAACTAACAACTGTTTCTGCAAGAAGCTCAGATGGTCGAGTCTGCTCTGCATCTTCCTTCTCAATCACCATATCCTCCACCTGTTGACCCTGCACTCCTTCTGCAGATTGTACCTCTGTTGTCACTGTGTGTTCCGGTGTTGTTTCCAGACCTTTCATGTCCCCTGGTTTTGAAACTGCTTCAGGAGACTTCAGTCCAGCAGCACCCAAGACTTCTGGAGCCTCTTCTGAACTCTTCCATTCTGCAGCAGGTTTTACTTCTAGAACTCCCTGCAGCTCTTCTGGCTTTTCTGTGTGCAAAGATTCTGGAACAGTTGCTGAAGCATCATCCATGGCTACCTCTCCATCTGTTCCAGAATCTTTTACCTCTACTGCTGCAGACTCTTTCATGCTCTCCAACCAACTCACTTCTCCAGCTTCTGGTGCTGGCCCCAAATACTTCGCTTTCTCAGTTTCTGAGAGCTCACTTTGTGTGCTGGTCCTTGTTCCAAGTAGATATTCTACAGTAGGTCCCTGAGTTTGCACATCTGTCAATTCTGTCACATTGTTTTCTTCCACTCTGGGCAAAGACTCCAGTACTGCTGCTGAATGACCTACTACTTGTTCCTGAACAGGTTTGGAACTGGTTTCTAAAGTTTGTGCAGGTTCTAGGACTGCTTCTCTGCTCCTTGCCTCTGCTTTGCTTGGATCTTCTGGAGCAAGTTCAGAATCCTTTCTCTCCCCAACCACCTCGGATTGTGAGGTTCTGGTGTGTGTCACGACCTGAGTCTGTGAAATGATGGAACTCTGTGTTTGGTTTGCACTGAGAGGTTCTGTCCCTGCTGTGGTTTGCCAGGGCATCACTCCTGACAACGCCTCTCTAACTGGTTCCACGCTCTCACGCGCAATCACAGGTTCAGGAGTCCTTTCTAAGGTAAGTCCTGGACTTGCACCAGCCCCACAATGCACAGCTTCTTGTGAAGCTTTCACACCTTCCCCTTGCAGGGACAGTGAAGCTGCTGTGAAAGCCGCTGGTCTCAGGGCTGCTCCCAGCCCGTGCGCATCTTCCCTCTGCAACAACGGGGCAGGTGCTCAAAGCTCTCACGTTTGATTCACCCTCAGGTCTCAGCAATGAAGCACCTTCCGAACCTGGTGCTCGCAGACTTTGAAGCCCCTCTGCCATCTGGAGCTGCGGAGCTGTTTGCTGGGCCAAGGTCTGCACAGGGGCTGCGGGTTCTGAGGCTGCTCTGACACCTCCTGGCTCTGCAGCCGCGCTGGCCCCTGCGAGTCCCGCTGGTAGTGCCGGCCCCGGGGCTCTGTCCACGCCCCTCATTTCCGTGCACGCTCCACGTGGCAGGAATGGCCCTGCTGCCTCCAGCACTGCTGCAGCTGTGCTGCCTTCCCCAGCTTTGCCTTGCAGACTTCCATGAGCTGTAACACCCCCAGGTTCCACGGCTGTTCCTGCAGCTTTCACATTTTCCATAGCTGGTTCAATATCCTTCATTTCTGTGACGGTTCCCGCTCCTGGGGGCGTTTTGGCACTTTGTATTTCTGCCTGGGCCACAGGGGTGACTGCAGATATTTTAAAAGGATGTTGCAAAGCTACATTTGATCTCAAGACACTTGAACTCCCCGTGGGGAGTGTCGTGCTCAAATTCCCAGCTATAACAGAGGCCTGCTGGGCTGGCTCCAAAGTTCTGCTCACACTCCCCAGTTCCAAAGATCTCTGCACACTTTGCACGTTTCCCATGTGCAGACATTTCTCAGTTGCTTCTGGAATTTTCAGTCCCTGTCCAGCCACAGCCACATGAGCTGCTGTCACAGCACTGGGATCCGCCCAGTCTGCAGATGCAGGAATTGCTGCCCCACCACTCGCCAAGGACACGGCTACCGAAGCTGTTCCCAAGTCCTGTGCTGCCCTCTGAGACACTGATTGCAGAGATGCTTCCGAATGAGGCAACACTTCCATGGCCTCGGGCTCCAGAGCTGTATCCAAAGCCTTCACCTCCCCAGTGCCTGGAGATTTCAGAGCAACTTCTGAACCTCTCAGTGCTTCTACAGAATCTTTGTGAAACTCGGATTTACTGGCAATTCCGGATGGGATGCTGGACCAAGCATCGTTTCCAGTATCGACAACACTGGCATTAATAGCTACAGCATAAATATTTCCGTGGGCCTGCTGAATTTGTTCTTCACTAGTGCAAACTGTACTGGGAGTTATACTGCTATTCTCTGGGATATTACACTGGTTGCTTTCTAAAATAAATGGAGGATTTGCTGCACACAAAGTCCCATCCCCACTTCCAAGGTTTTCTGCAGACTGCTGGGAATCAGTTAGCGGATGAGAAACGAGTCCTAAAGCTTGATTATCAAGCCCCTCACTGGCTGCTGGGCACAGCTGTGGCTGCAGGTGGCCAGCCAGGCTGGGGTCTCCCACCCCTCCCTGCTGGACATTCACTTGGGGGCCGGATTTCTCCAGCAGCAGGTGAGGAGCCGGTGGCACGTCCGCAGCTTCTCCGGGACGCGCTCCCAGCTTGGCTTCCTTTGGCTGCTTTTTATGCTTTTTCTCTTTCTTCCTTTTCTTCTTCTTTTTCTTCTTCTTCTTGCTTTTGTGCTTCTTGTTCTTCTTTGCTTTTTTCCTAGGAATTTCATCTTCCCCCGTGGAACTTCTTTTTGTAGACTGAGTACTATTTTTCACAGTATTTTTGTCTACATCTAGAAAAAATGATATTTTCATTGTAAACATTTTAAAGACTGCATTTTGAAACTTTTTTAGACTACTGATGAAGAACACGGGCAGAGGTACAGAACATTTACACTTGCAAACCCTGCCTGATCCACCACACACCAACAGAACACACTCCTTTACCAGGTCTCTTCTCTTACCCTCAGGAGTCACTTAAAGTAAATACAATTATTCCTCTTCCAAAAAAACTATCCAAATCTTCTTGTTGAACAACACAGCTCTAGTGGGAACATGGCTCTTTCCAAGAAGTATCACAGGATGGTTTGGGTTGGGAGGGACCTCAAAGCTCACCCAGTGCCACCCCTGCCACGGGCAGGGACACCTTCCACCAGCCCAGGCTGCTCCAAGCCCCGTCCAACCTGGCCTTGGACACTCCCAGGGATCCAGGGGCAGCCACAGCTTCTCTGGGCAACCTGTGCCAGGGCCTGCCCACCCTCCCAGCCAGCAATTCCTTCTCAATATCCCATCTATCCCTGCCCCTGTCAGTGGGAAGTCACTCCCTTAAAAACAGAAGGAAGGAAAACCCTGGGAATGACCACCGTGTCAGCCTCCCCTGTGTGAGTGGGAAGATCACAGATCCTCCCAGCAGCTCTGCTGAAGTACGTGGAGAACAGGGAGGTGATTTGGGACAGCCACCACGGCTCCACCCAGGGAAAATCCTGTCTGACCAACCCAGGGGCCTTCTCTGATGGAGTAACTACATCAGCGATAAGAAAAGAGCCACAGCTGTCATTTCTCTGGGCTTTGTAAAGCCTTTGGCACAGGACCCCACATCACCCCTCTCTCCAAATTGGAGTGATGGATTTGACAGGTGGACTGTTCAGTGGATTAGGAATTACGTGGATGGCCCCATCCAGAGGGTCACGGTCAAAGGCTCAGAGTCCCGATGGCCATCGGTGACCAGTGGTGACCAGTGGGCTCCATACTGGGCCCAGTGGGATCTGATCCCCTCCCCAGTGACACGCACAGGGCTCAGGGGCACCCTCAGCAGGTTTAGGTGACCCCAGGCTGAGGCTGCAGGGACACCCCTGAAGGATGGACCGTCCAGAGGGACCTGCCCAGGCTGCAGCAGCGGCCCTTGGGAATCTGCTCAGCTTTAACAGGGCTGAGTGCTGGTGCTGCCCCTGGACTGGGCACCCTGGGATCAATCCAGGCTGGGCATGAGCAGATGGAGCAGCCCTGGGAGAAGGCCCTGGGGGTGCTGGTGGGGCAGAGGCTGGACATGACCCAGCCCAGAACCCCCCGTGCCCAGGGCTGATCCCCCAGCGTGGGCAGCAGGGCAGGGGGGATTGTGCCCCTCTGAGACCCCCCTGCAGAGCTGCTCCAGCCCTGGGAACAGCACAGGGAGCACAGGGAGCTGCTGGAGAGAGCCCAGAGGAGGCACCAAGAGGATCCCAGGGCTGGAGCAGCTCTGCTGAGAGGAAAGGCTGGCACAGCTGGGATTGTTCAGCTGGACAAGAGAAGCTTTGGGGAGACCTGAGTGTGGCCTTGCAGGGCCTGAAGGGGCTCCAGGAAAGATGGAGGGAGACTATCCCCAAGGGATGCAGTGCCAGGAGACAGGGAACAGATTTAAATTGAAAGAGAGTAGGTTTAGATTAGACATTAAGAAGAAATCCTTCCCTGTGAGGGTGGTGGACATTGGCACAGGTTGCCCAGGGAAGTTTTCCCATCCCTGAAAGTGTTAAAGTCCAGGTTTGATGGGGCTCTGATTGACCTGGGATAGCAGGTGTCCCTGCCCATGGGCGGGGGGTTGGAACTGGATGATCTTTAAGATCCCTTCCAACCCAAACCACTCCATGATTCCCCCTTGTCCTGTCCCTCCAGCCCTTGGAAATAGTCTCTCTCCATCTTTCCTGGAGCTCCTTCAGGCCCTGCAAGGCCACACTCAGGTCCCCCCAAAGCTTCTCTTGTCCAGCTGAACAATCCCAGCTGTGCCAGCCTTTCCTCCCAGCAGAGCTGCTCCAGCCCTGGGATCCTCTTGGTGCCTCCTCTGGGCTCTCTCCAGCAGCTCCCTGTGCTCCCTGTGCTGTTCCCAGGGCTGGAGCAGCTCTGCAGGGGGGTCTCCCCTGAGGGGCAGAGGGGTTGGATGTACCTACGCTCTGCAGGGCAGTGCATTACCCCAGGAGGCTGCAGATGTGATTTTAAACTCCCCAAGCTGCACAAGGAAGGTAAACAAGAATTCCCATTTTCCAGACAAATGCCCTCTGTGGTGCCTCAGTGTACAGAACAGGCCTGGCCCACCTGCCCTGCTGAGCTTTAACCCAGGACTGAGCCCAGAGCTGCTGCTGTGCTGGGAATTCCCAGTGTGTTCCCTGACCAATAAGCTCCTCACTAAGGCCTAACAAATTTGGGGAAACAGCTCCCCCAGTCCCAGAGCAGCTCTAAGGCACAGCAGGCTGGAACAGCTGCTGGGGCTGGACTGCAGCTGCCAGAGTCATTGCAAACCTGCAATCCCTGCTGGAACATTTGCTTCCAACGGGCAGGAACAAATCCCAGTGCCTGTGGAGACCTGACCATCGCTGCAGCAACCGCTGGTGGGGAAGGCAAGAGGCAGGCTGAGGTGTCCAGCACCCCTCAGTCCTGTCCCTCATTTCCCCCTGGCTTTAAGCTGTGTTGGGTCCTTGCCCTTCTGGGGACCCAGGGCCTTGTTTCCAGGAGAAAGGCACTTCTTTCAAGGGAACTCATTGGAATTTCTGTGGAAGGTCAGCTGTACATTGGAGCCTGTCGGCATCTTCCCTTCAGTGATTGTATCTGCACAGGCCAGGGCAGCAACACAGACCCTCCCACTAGAACCTGTGATCCCAAAGCTCAGTACTTCCAGTGAGCACTGCAAAACCCTTCAAGGACTGTTGGTAATTGCAATTCTGTAAGGCAAAGTGACTTGTTATTCCATAAACAGGTACATTTTTATGGAATCAAATGCAGAATAAAGTTCAGCAGACAACAAGTTTAAAGGAAAAAGGCTGAGACAAATCCTTTTAAAAATCCTTATTGTAAATGTCTGTAACTCCTGGGAAATCAGCCCTTCCAAACTCATGGAAAAGGCAGAGAAAGCCCCAAGAAGTGTGGCTTGGGTCAAGCTTCCTGTTGTACAAGCTGTGCAAAGGGAAAGGTTTCACTGGTGCTGCCTCCCGTGGGGCCAGGGATGGGGGAGGCACAGGGTGCTGAAATCTGCTCTGCCTAAAAACCCCTCCCTGAACCCCAACCTGAGCACCACACAGAACATGCTCCTGCTGCTTCTGTGAATATCAATAAAGG